ACTGACCGAAAATTCCATATTGTGTATACTTCGTGTATAGCAAAGCTGCACAGTAAAAGGCAGTGCAATTACCTATTTACTGATAAGAGACAACTGATATCAACTCACAAGCGAAAAGATTGATTGCACACTCTAAAAGATTGATTGCACACTCCGGCTGCAATCGATAGAAAAACCATCATATAATGGGTTAAACTTAAAAGGGTTTTGAGGACACCTCACAGTAGCTAAAAGAGGTATCGTATTATGAGTGTGACACAGTTATCCAAATATTGCTGTATATGTTATGACCGTTGGGCCCGTTACGTAGGCCGTACCCTTTAACTAATGTTGTATCATAACTGTAAGATTGACCTAATCTACTATATTTCAGACCAAGGAATGTTAATTGGGCAGCTACAGTTAACTAAGTCACAAAAATGTGATATTTTAGACATTATAGTGCCTAACAACAACACCTTTTATTTTTAAGCAGTGCATATGAGAGTATGGGTCACGTGGCTAATGTTCAGAACTTCTGAACGTGCTATGTTAATAGATGCCAAAATTAAGCCACTATCGTCGAAAATGCTATTATTTTTGTTTACCAATATCCTCAAACTCGAATGTGTCCATATAATCTCCTCTAATGTCTAACATCTAACTAACCAGGAAACCACCGTTTTGGTAGTTACATTCCTTAAAGACAAAAGTCACTACTTATCGCTGTATAACGAGATATCACAATTTAATTATATATCAGCTTATTAATGGAGTTTTCTTCTCCCTCGTTACCAAGTAACAGAATTCTAACGAATCACTATAAGGGTAATTAGATCATAAACAGGGTATCTAATATCTGGTATGCCCCCTTATCACAGCCTTATTATATCAACCGGAAATATTATGAGGTAGATTATTTTAAACAGTTACGTGTCCCCTTTCTTTCCAACATTTCTCTTATTTCCTGAAGTGGTCACTTTTTTGTCAGACACTTCTCGACCCATCATCTCATCGGTAGGCGGGACAGTCATGGAGGGGGGGGTGCATGCAAAGCCGTACAATTACTTTTACACTTAGCTTTTCGTAGAAATTATTCTAAGCATTTCCGAACCCCTTCCCTTGCTTACTTATTTGCGATCTGTTATCTGTTAATTTTATCGTGATACCTTGTGAATGTGATCAGTTCTCTACTTATCTTACCAACATATCCATATATCATCTCACGATAAAATTGGCTTATTTCAGTGCCTGTTTGATTGTAATTTACACTGCCACATTGCTCTCATGTTTCAAGATGTTTGTCAGATGATGCTATTGGAAAATGGAGGATACTAGTTACGTTCGGATTTGAATAACGAGTTGGCTTCTTAGCAATCGTAGAAAAAGAGGATATCAGTTAAAAAGATTTTAGTTTCCATTAACAAAAAATTTGTTAATTTTTTGTTTGACTTTGAGGTCCAAAAGATCAACTTTCCAGTTGAATAAACACATTTTTGAGGGCATCAAAAACTGCGCCAGAATTCAGAGAACAATTTCATGTCAAGCATCAAAACAATCCGATGTTCCTTAACGGATTTTTCGTCAAAACAAGCCGATGTTCCTTGGCGGACTTTTTGGTCAAAACAAGCCTGAAAAGTAAAATTACCATTTTTTGACTTTTAAAAATTCATAAAAACGCAGCGTTTTCGGATAAAATATCAAGATTTTGCACACATCTTGAACAAGATATGAATAGACTTCGTGCAAAATTTCAGCTCGATATCACAAGAAATGATTGACTTATAGCCTCTCAACAAAACAAATTGTGCTTTTCCGAAAAATGCACTTTAACCAGGAAATGCTCGATTACAAAAATGGGAATCCTCAAAAACATTTTTTGTGTGGAAACGGTGCGCTAGATGGTTACTGAACTTATGAGGTCATTTGGGTTGGACAGTTTTGGCGTACGCCCCCTTGATATTAGCCATAGAATGTCCTCATATGACACTACAATATAAGATAAGGTCATACTTTTATTTAGCTTAAGGCTAAGTCATCTGTTCATGATTTAATCAATAATATTAGTTTGTAGTCACTGTACGAGACCACTGACCAGCGAACTTATATCCTCTGCTATAATTCAGGCACACACAGGTAATGCAATATGCAACATAACTCTGTAAAAGTTACACGCAACTGGCCTGGTAATGAGATAATTGGTTTACTCCTCAATATTCCAGGAATTCTAGATTCTGTATTGTTCTCGAATCATCTTCTCTTGCGACACAACGTCTTGTTGTCCTCAAGCTTACTGCTCACTAAGGCCAAGCTTACTGCATTCAGCTAAATAACAGTCGGCCAAGTAACAAGCAATGATTTTAAAACCAGTCACTATATCCGTTAACTCCGTATAGCTACATGATACATTCACAGTTTCTCTAATACCTGCACGTGAGTTGTAGCGCACGTGACTGTTACGCAGTCGCACGTGACGCCGCCCGGCCTCATTATAGGATATGCTGCTGCGTCACGTGATGCGCGCTACTGTCACGCGGCTGCAATTATTCCTTATATGGCGCTCTCTTACCACATCATCTCGATGTCTTCGTTTGGCTGTCAGCTATATTATATACAGCGCGGTCCTTTCATAACGTTGTACAGCATATCATAAGTCATAACGTTGTACAGCATATCATCTTTTCTCTTTCCTGTTTCACTGGTTTTATTTGACTGTCAGCTTGACTGGCGATTAGAGTTATGCCTGCTAGACTTGACCTCGAGACGGTGTATCATTTCTCAGTGGCCATCCAGCGTACGTGAGCTCTTATATTATATTCTCGCACAAATGTAGGGAGTCCCGCGGCCGCTTTGGTTTACTTTTGCAGTGCACGCTATATACACATGTAATATGTTATAGCAATACATATACGTTAGCATGTGCATCTTTAATTAACCTTCTCCGCTTAAATTGCGTACACAGTACATGCATGTACCCTCGGTTTGCACTGTTGCCATTTTTGTGACTATCTTTTCATGACCGAGCATGACCTTCTGATATCTATTTAACGTGTCAGTAAATGTTCATTATGAATAAACGAATCCATATACAAAATATATAAATTAAATTGTTGTGAAAATTGATATTTGATTATTCTGTAATACACATTTTATTTTCCTCATCACCCTGACCCTCCCCAGTTGTTCTTCTGCTCCTCCTCGGCCTTCTTCCCCGTTCCTCTCTTTTCTTCCTTTTTCAACTCATCGGTCTTCCTTCCTAGTTCCTTCGTCCCCTTATTATCCTCTTGATCGTTACCTTTCCTATCAATCCTCCTCTTCCTCATCCTCCCCCTCTTCCTCATCCTTCGGCCTCCCCCTTCTCCTCATCTTCCTTCTCCTGCTCTACCTTCTTCTCTTCCTCCTTCTTCGTCTCCTCATCATCCTTCTCCTTCTTCATCCTCCTCCTTCTCTTTCTTTTCCTTCCTATCTTCCTCATCCTCCTCATTCTCTTCCTCCTCCTTCTTATCTTCCTCATCCTCCTCCTTCTTCGTCCTCCTTCTTCATCCTCCTCTTTCTTCTCCTTATCTTCCTCATCCTCCTTCTCTTCCTTCTAATCTTCCTCATCCTCCTCCTCTTCCTCCTTCTTCACCCTCCTTTTTCTTCTCCTCCTTATCTTCCCATCCTCCTTTTCCTCTTTCTCCTCCTTCTCATCCTCCTTATCTTCCTTCTTCTCCTCCTCTTTCTTCTCCTCATCCTTCTCCTCTTCCTTATCCCCCCTTCTCCTCATCATCCTTCTCTTCCTCATGCTTCTCTTCTCCTTCTCTTTCTCCTCCTAATCTTCCTCCTCCTTATCCTCCATCTTCTCATCTTCTTCCTCCGTCTCCTCATCATCCTTCTCCTCTTCCTCCTTCTTATCTTCCTCATCCTCCTCTTCTCTCCTTCCTCCTTCTTCACCTCCTCTTCCTTATCGTCCTCCTTATCTTCCTCCTCCTCTTCCTGCTCCTTTTCTTCCTCCTTCTCATCCTCATTATCTTCCTTCTTTTCATCCTCCTTCTCATCATCATCCTCATACTCATCCTTCTCCTCTTCCTCCTCCTTATCTTCCTCCTTCTCATCCTCATCTTCCTCCTTCTCATCCTCCTTATCTTCCTTCTTTTCCTCCTCTTTCTTCTCCTCATACTCATCCTTCTCCTCTTCCTTATCCTCCCCCTTCTCTTCCTTCTCCTTCTCTTCCTCCTTCATCCTCCTTCTCTTCCTCCTCTTTATTCTTCTCATCATCCTCCTACTCCTACTCTTCCTTATCCTCCCCCTTCTCATCATCCTTATCTTCCTTCTCCTGCTCCTCCTCCTTCTTCTCCTTCTCTTCCTCCTTGTCCGTCTCCTCATCATCCTTCTCTTCTTCCTTCTCCATCCTCCTCCTTCTCTTCCTCCTTCTCCTCTTCGTCCTTCTTCACCCTCCTTTTTCTTCTCCTCCTTATCTTCCCAATCCTCCTTTTCCTCTTTCTCCTCCTTCTCATCCTCTTTATCTTCCTTCTTCTTCTCCTCTTTCTTCTCCTCATCCTTCTCCTCTTCCTTATCCTCTCCCTTCTCCTCATCATCCTTCTCTCCCTCATGCTTCTCTTCTCCTTCTCTTTCTCCTCCTAATATTCCTACTCCTTATCCTCTTTATTCTCATCTTCTTCCTCCGTCTCCTCATCATCCTTCTCCTCTTCCTCTTTATCTTCCTCATCCTCCTCCTTCTCTCCGTCCTCCTTCTTCACCCTCCTCTTCCTTATCGTCCTCCTTATCTTCCTCCTCCTCTTCCTGCTCCTTTTCTTCCTCCTTCTCATCCTCATTATCTTCCTTCTTTTCATCCTCCTTCTCATCATCATCCTCATACTCATCCTTCTCCTCTTCCTCCTCCTTATCTTCCTCCTTCTCATCCTCATCTTCCTCCTTCTCATCCTCCTATCTTCCTTCTTTTCCTCCTCTTTCTTCTCCTCATCCTCCTCTTTCTTTTCCTTATCTTCCTCATCCTCCTCCTTCTATTCCTTCTTCTTCTTCTATTCCTCCTCCTTATCTTCATTCTCCTTATCCTCCTCTTCCTCTTCCTTATCCTCCCCCTTCTCATCATCCTTCTCTTTCTCCTCCTTATCTTCCTTCTCCTGCTCCTCCTCCTTCTTCTCCTTCTCTTCCTCCTTGTCCGTCTCCTCATCATCCTTCTCTTCTTCCTTCTTCATCCTCCTCCCTTTCTTCCTCCTTCTCCTCTCCGTCCTCTTTCTGATCTTCCTTTTCCTCCTTATTTTCCTCCTCTTTCTCCTCTTTATCTTCCTCCTTCTCATCCTCCTTATCTTCCTTCTTCTCATCCTCTTTCTTCTCCTCATCCTTCTCCTCTTCCTTATCCTACCCCTTCTCTTCCTCATGCTTCTCTTTCTCCTCCTCTTCCTCCTTATTTTCCTTCTCCTGATCCTTCTTCCTCCTTCTCCTCTTCCTCCTCATTATATTCCTCCTGCTCCTTATCCTCCTCCTGCTCCTTATCTTCCTCCTTATCTTCTTTATTATCCTCCTTATCTTCCTTCTCCTCCTTTATCTTAAATAACCGGTTACACTTTTCAGGATGATTCAAAGATGTCAATCTCCCAGTTTTATCTACTCTTTACGAATAGCCCGATTGAACATGCAAATGTTCGTTGCAGGAGTCGCCAATTATACTTAGTTAAACCTTGTAGATATGTGATACCTTCACTCACTTAACGCAGCACTCACTTCCGAGCCAGTAGCTGGATAGCCCTCGTCAGATGAGCTTCAAGATTACTTGGACCGGGAATCACTTGTGAACCATTAAATTGAACTGAAGATGTAGGACTGATCTTCTGCAGGAGCCACCAATTGGCTTCTGCAGGAGCCACCAATTGTCTTCTGCAGGAGCCACCAATTGGCTTCTGCAGGAGCCACCAATTGTCTTCTGCAGGAGCCACCAATTGGCTTCTGCAGGAGCCACCAATTGGTTTCTGCAGGAGCCACCAATTGGCTTCTGCAGGAGCCACCAATTGGATTCTGCAGGAGCCACCAATTGGATTCTGCAGGAGCCACCAATTGGATTCTGCAGGAGCCACCAATTGGTTTCACGGCATGTCAGATTAATCGCGGAAAATCTCATTTTGTGATAACACGGTTTGGACGAAGTACGGAGGAATTCTAACAGGAGCTACCGATTTTCGAATTTTTTAAACAAATTGTATCCAGTTGTCTTGCTCTACATCTTTACTGTTTTCAATTTGAATGCTGTTAAAAGTTGTTTTAATGTATCAGACTTATGATAACCGGAAATTGTACTGTAGTATCAATGTAAAAAACTCCTCTTTACAGTTTACAAGTATCTCCCACACTTTTCTTGCTCTTTTTTCCCAGCACTTCTCGCTCATCTCCTCTCCCACCACACTTTTCTCGCTCATCACTCCCACCACACTTTTCTCACTCTCGCCACACTTTTCGCGCTCAAGTGATCTAACCAAAAACGATTTTCTACAAATCGGTTCCAGAAATCTTTAAATTTTGAATTTCGTCTCTCAGAGGTAACTGCGCTATATATTAACAACAGCTTACTGGTATTGTCGGCGCTCAGCCTGAAAGTAATGTGGAACTCTAAACACTCATCTGTTATCATAATTTTTGTCACAAAAATTGGCTAAATCATAAATGTTGCTGATAATGATATGATAGTTATCGAGCATGCTAAAGTTAAATGATTACATGCACTGGAAAATCGAGATTGTATAAGAACCCTATTTTTTGTTTTTGAGCGCTGATTTTCATTGTGATACCGAATATCTATGAATCACCAGTTATCAAGTTCAAAGTTATGACGTCATTGGTCATGCTACACTGTACAAAAGGAATCCCACGGACCCGGATTTTGGGTTGTCCGTTCTATTGTATGTATGACGCAATGATGACCGAATCGGAATAGAAGCTCTTAGAATAGGAGCAAATATAAATGCGGTTTGCGTCTGATAATAAGCATGCACGAAATGAAACGGTATACCTTAAATCTGTGATCAGAAGGTAAATGCAATGTTTAGGCCTCTTGATATTCCTGATCTGGCTCCCTTGTCCCTGCGCGAATAGAATCAGAATCTTTTTTCTTTTTTTAGAGAGGCTGGGCTAAGTTAGCCCACGAGAGGATACCATTGACTAGATGCTCTGCCTACCTCTGGGGTGTGGCAACCCTGGGGAAGGTTGCCGGTGAAATCAGAGTGAATGGTTACTGGGCCGCGCTCAGCCTGTCATTCCGCCAAATCTTTATATTATGTTAATGAACATAATAGCCTGGGGTCCTCAGGTAAAGTGAATGGTGGAGGATGGTGTAAAAAGTGACATCGGTAGATCGGCGAGATGCACCACTGTGCCTCACCGAGCTGCAAAGGATTGACATCGTGAATCAAAAGTCAAAATGATACGCTTAAGTGCCAACTGGGTTTGAAAAAGTAAAATGAGACGAGACAGCATATATGCGAGTTAATACTCTAAGTCTAATAGTCTAATTCTAAAGTCACCCCGGTCTGGTCCAGCTCTTCCGGCACAATTAAGCGTTTGGTGCGGTTTGCGAAATTGACAATCGTGGTGATGACTGATGTGTTGGTTGTCGAATATGTCATTGACAGAGAGTACTAGTAGTCCTGGAAATATTAACCTAGACCTCTAATTTGGGCAATAGCCGGACACTGTCCAAGGAAGTGTGACACAGTTTCCTCTCCGTCGCCGCACATAGCTAGGACAAGCACTGATGTTTGATTTGCAAATGGTGTGAAGGTGTTTGTTTAATCCGCAGTGACCCGTGATGAGGTGAACTGCAGTCCTGTAATCTTGTCTGTTGTTGCTGAGTGTGGTGATGAGGTTTTTGATCATGATGATGATGGCGTGCTTGTGGCCGAGTGTCAGTTTGGTGTGTCTGGGACCATCAGTTAACAATAACCAAGTTTCCTGATTCAGTCTGTTGACTTTGTTGTCGATTTGACTTTTGATGTAGGATTGTGGAATTGAACATTTCAAAGTGGATTCACTGATTGTACCAAGCTTGGCCAGCTCATTTGATTTTTCGTTCATTTAACTTTTTAAATTTGACAAATTGACAATTGCAACCCTGAACCCCTCCATTTTGTGTTCCGTAGCGCCCCAAGAATGGTGAATAAAGACAAAAGAACCATTATTTAATATTTTGACCAACATGAAACTATCGTTAAGTTTAATTTTAAAACTAAAAGGCATGACAATCACTGACACTACGGTTGATGGAAATCTAGCGTCCGCTAACCGGCGCAATTAATTCTTGTTCGTTCAGAATCCATATTGCATATGTGATATGCAATTAATCAAATATCAAATATGTAATGGCCGGTCGGCGCGCCATTGCATGCAGCGCGCGCATGCAATCGATCATGCATGCAATGATAACATATATCATTGTTCATTGTAGCGCGATGCACTACTGGGTCGCGCGCGCATCAAATAATGCTTCTCGCAACCACATATGCAGATGCGAAGGATTGACATCGTGAATCAACATTGTTCAGTAATGTTTTAAAAGGTTTAGTAAATTTTGTTTTCGTAATTATATTTATTCAGGACGTACAGAAGGAATTGATTTAATGTAGTTGGAGGAGTCCCAACTCTCCTCACGTCCGTATTAATGGAGTTTTCTTTGATTGTATCATATATGCATGACATGACATGCATGACTTACCTGAGGACCCCAGGCTATTATGTTCATTAACATAAAGATTTGGCGGAATGACAGGCTGAGCGCGGCCCAGTAAATGCATGACATGATATGATATAATGCCGCCGCGCACGCGACGGCGAGAACGCGCATATTTTATTACAATTATGTTATAGCGCGTTCCATAAACGTGCCACGTATTTCCGCCGACAAGTGATGCAACGCAGGGACTTGTTGCAAATCTTCACACTGCCACTTCATCCTGCACTCATGAACTAATATCCTAACTAGACTACCATGAGCCTTATATTATATTACTAAATAGTCAGTTCAAACTGATGACTAGAGTTTCACATTTCACGTCAGAACCTATATTATCTAATACAGAACTGTACGACGTTTCACCACTATCCACTCAGTGAACTACACATCAAGTTGGCACGCCACAGTTTGCACGCCATAGCTTATCACACGCAGTATGCCGCACGGAGCGGAAGTGGCACTTCTAGTGTAGACACGACCTGATGTGTCAACACGTAACATGGAGCAACATGCAACTACAACACGGGCTCGAATGGTGCATTTTATAGAATACATGTTGATAGTTTATCGTTGTTAATACATGAGCGGGCTGCCCCAATGAAATAACAACGATCAACTATCTTTAGCCTAGAAGATGTAATCGTGATTGTTGATCTGCTGCTAATATCGATAGTTAAAGCTAATGAAGCCGCACAACAACTTTGTGTACATCCCTATTGTTATTTATAAATGAGTAGACTACATCGGGCCACAAGGAGATGTGGCTCATATTACACAATAGATGGAATAGAGACCCGGTAGATAGAAGTGTGCACCGTGTGTATGGAGGGGGGGGGGGGCAGGTGATAGAGCAGCTACTTCACGTTAATTTGCTATTCTCACAAGAGCACTGGTTACTTTTCAAGATAAACAACAATTTCAGAAAAAACTTTAAATCACTAGTAATATATAACAGTGTCCATTGACTAAAAATAATAACCATAAGATATTTATAATTGAAATCCTCTTTTTGTGGCTTACGGCATCTGCATATAATTTAAATATAGCAGGCATCTGAAATATTTCAGACATCTCAAATATTTCAGGCATCTGCAACTTAACATCAGGCATCTACGATTTCCTGCTCGTAGGCATCTGGGAACACTCATCCAGGTTATATAAACAAATAAACAAATACATCTGTACACTGATACAGGCATCTGCTGAGTGAGCAGGCATCTAGCGAGTAGTTACACTAGGCATCTGTTATGAATAACAGGCATCTGTACATTATACAATGTATACATCTATACAATATAGATATACATTATACAATATAGACATACAATATAGTATTGTATATCTATACAATATAGTATTGCATATATGTACAATTGTATATCTATACAATATAGGTATACTATACGTTGTATACACTATACAATGCAATTTAGATATACAATAAATTTACAATGCACAATGTATATCTACTGTATACAATATACATATTAGATGTACATTGCACCATTCTCATATAGTACAGGTCGATTACAACAAAAACTGTTGTTATAAACACATATTTACGGTCATTTTAACGCCATTTTGTATTTTTTAACTTTTCTCTTTCGTTTCGTCTCGTTTACAATTTTTTTATAGCTTTTAAATTTAATAAAATAACAGTTGTTCTTATTTACAAGCAACGATGTTTCCAATGAAACTAAGAAGGATAAATCAATATGTTGAATGCTCGAAATTCATCATGTGTTGCATGTAAAGAAGAGTGCTGTAATAATTTAACTAGAAACTTGTCTCCTTTAGAATGTTATAATTTAGTTAAGATTACAAGTAATCCAACGTATTAGGACGGTAAATAACAACAGTAATTAGAATATTGGCAAGTATCCAAACTCAGCGGTTTTAAGGTATGTTTAGATCTAAGTGTACAAGAAGAATGTACCGTCCATTTCACATCTCATAACCAAATAATAGAGTTTAAGATCGCTGGATCGTTTATTAATGATTAAGGAACAATTTTACATCAGGAGAACGAAAGTATATCAAATATATAGTAAATTTGAATCTATTTGAAGGCTAATACAATCTTATCAATAACTTGTAGACATTAGACAAGTCTACTGTAACTCTCATATTGCAACACTGCAGATACATGTCACATGGCATGTCACATGGCAAGCAATGTAGACATTGGTGAAATTTATCTTACTTACAGTGAAATATATAGTGTAAGCTGCAAAAAGTCAAGAACTTTCGCAGTTTTCGCTCACTTTAGAAAATTCATAACACGACTCTGGAAAAAAACCTTAATAAACAATACGTCCGAAACATCATGGTACTTAAATCTTCGGCTCAATTAATTTGATCGCGATCAAACTTTTCTGCCGTACGGTATAAACAAATTGGAATGCTGCTCAGAACGAGTTTACCATTAATTATTGAAACATTCCTTTTAACTTTTTAATGCCTATTCGTGAATAACTTATCACGTTGTTTCATAATCTTCACTTCAATCAAAACTGAAAAAACATTCCTTATAATGCCTATTTGTGAATAACGTATCACGTTGTTTCATAATCTTCACTTCAATCGAACCTGAAAATGTTTACCGACAATATAATATCAAACTAACAACCTAAATAAAACTCTATAATTTCTACTAATTATCAAATACCAACTCATTCAGCTCAAATATGGTTTCATCAAATCGAAAACAAAAGTCGTTATCAGTGCTCGGTGTTAATAAATATAGTTTACAAATCTTGATGTTTACGTAAAACAAAGGAAATTGACCAAAGCTTACACCTGAACTAGAATCTTGTAAAACTTTTACAGTATACCTCCCCCCTAACGCTTCTCATTTTTCTTGATGTACCCGTTTTTAATCCTTTTAACCTCCTCCTCCAGCAGAAAGAGCTCCTCATCTACACAGGCAGGAAAGAGTAGTCTCATCATGTGAGCTAGGTTGAACAAGTACTCTGAGTTAGGACCAGAGTGTCCCTCACAGGTAGCTATACAGTCTGCCATCTCAGTGAGGGGAGAGGGTCCCAGGAAGTCAGGGTTACTCTCAGTTGCTGTGTACACTAACACCTGTTAAAGTGTTCAACACATTTAACCAACAAATAGTCAACATAATGAATAATTCAGAATATATTTTATATAAAATAGCATGAAAACAGAAAATCCGATGGTTCTTGCAACCAGCTATATTTTGCGCTTATTTTCTTAGTTGATTGATTAATATTATGTTACAATTAGCGGTAGTCTAGATATCAAAAATTTTCAAGATTTCAAATGTATATAAAATAGTATGAAAATACAAAATAGGATGGTTGAATTGTACCTTTTGTATTGACTGAGATGGATCACAAGGGTAGAAAATAACCTGCTTTAGCTTGTAACCAGTTTCTCTATCATCAAGATAATTAAAGGTTGCTTCAGCTTCTTCAGGACTAAGTTCAAACCCTAGACCACAGACTTTTCCCTGAGGATCTTCAACAAGGGTGGCTACTCTACCAGGCTGTAAGAGTTAGTTTTATTAGTCATACAATTCGTGTGTGGAGAAAATAAAGGATTCCAAATTACTGATCCTCGGGCTCCAACTAACAGAACACAAGCGGTTAAAAGGAAATTTAAGTGTAATTCTGACTGTTTTAAACCCCAAATATAGAGGAGTTAATTAACTAATTACTAATTAATTAACCTCACCTTCTCATCTGTACCCCGATGGTCCCTGCTCCCCTGCCAGAACTTCCTAGACACACCCTCAATACTCCCAGGCAGCACTTTCTCATATTTAAAATTAGGTTTCCAGATGAGAGACCCGTACCCAAACACCCACACATTGTCCTTAACACACGAAACACTGGTCTCTGTTTGAGCTGGCATTTGATAATTCGTCTACTAATATTTCAATGGACACTGTTGTTTTTGCTAATTCGTTGATTCTTCAAACTTGGGATCAAGTTTCCAATAGTCTTTAAAGTTTGCTTTAAAGTTCTTCAAAGTAAGAGATTCACTCTTGTATATTCCATAATAATGAACGGCAGTAGAATCGATACAATAATTAAGTACTATTGCCATTTAACAACAACAAGCGCCACAGGCGGCCATTTCAGATATAATAATAGAAAAGAAATAAAGTGTAAGTTGAGAGGTTTGGTTGTTGGGTTTGTTCTGAAAACTGCTTGAATATTACTCAAGCAGATTCTTTCAGAGGTCGTCCTTTGGTTTGTGGAAATAGGCTTTCTTTATAGACTTCTTCTTGAGAGACTGGTAAGATTCTGTTGTAAGAACTGGTGTATTGAAGTGTTGTAGCTGTGGGTAGGACGCCTTGACGCTGTGTTTATGAGGGTTCTTCCTAATAAAACCATGGTTAGTAACAGTAACAATTAATAATAGTAACGTTTTAAAATAACAATTATAAATTATATGATATTTATTGATAACTGGAAAGAACAAAGCCACGACCCCTTGTTGTTGTGCTTGCGACACCAGATCTTGCCCGTAGCAAGCACAAGTACGGAAATGGCTGCAAGGTTCTCAAGGATGGTGAGGACTACTGGATAAATCCAGACTTATCCCAGGCTGAAAGAAGGGCGAACTACGAGGCGCGGCAAAAAAGACGGGAGCGGACGAAGGACAGTGGTTCCAAGGGACTATTGACAGGTGGTACGGAATCGGAAAACTCCGGCAACGTTGCGACCTATTAGCTGTCTCTAGTTATAACTCTAAACTAAGAAACAATGCTAGTCATTTTCTGAAAGTTTTTTATTCAAATGCAAATGACTTGAAGAATAAAATCAGTGAACTGCAAATTGTAGCCGAATCCAGCGACTGCAAGGTTTTGGGAATTACAGAAACAATGTTCAGTGCAGATGTGTATGATGCAGAGGTAGCATTAGCGAACTTTAGGCTGTATAGAGTAGATCGATTAACGGGGAAAGGTGGTGGTTCTTGTATATATGTGCATGATTCTATCCAATCTCACAATGTAACAATAAATGTACCTGATTGCATATGTGTCATGCTAAATTCTGATTGTATTGATATTGCATTATTTGTTATATACCGATCCCCTTCATTAACAATCGATAAGTGTCAATCAATGTTATCTAATCTGTCCGTAGCGATTGAAAATCTAGCCCCTAATACCGAACTAATCATGATGGGAGATTTCAATCTTCCTGATGTTGTGTGGGATTTAGGTGTAGTTAAATGTCCGAATAATTCAATTAATCAAAAATTCCTGATTCAACAGTGCTATCTTGATTTTTTCGCAAAACATGATCTCAGTTGGGTTATCGGAGACGATGTTAAAACTCGCAGAAGGAAGGTTTTAACAACAGTAAATACATGTGAGCATGATTCATATGCACATTTTATGTCTAATAACCCATTGATTGCTAAATACCGAGGAATCAATGTTTCTTGATTGTTAAATTCAGAACTACATGTTAACGTCCTAAAAATAATTAATCATTAAATGTTCCGGATAGGAACATTTTTCTTTTTGATAATATTGTGCGAACTGCAATAGCGTAGAGTGCAGTTGGGTTTCAAGTTTTGTCGAGATGGCCATGTGGCCATAATCCTATTATTATTATTATTAACTGTATAATTTATGTAATTGTCAAGTCATGTGTTACAAATTAGAATTACAAATCACAATTTATGAGCACTGGGAATAACTGTTATTGCAGCTAACATATCCTCGAATTCGAATGTCTTCATAACAACTATAGCTATACTATTAGCGATGGAGATAAAAATGAATCTTGTGATGGTTAGGACAATAGATTAGTAGTGTTGTAATTAGTTTAAAACTAAATTTTAGGGAGGGCGTCAAAAGGGGAGGGGCGCCAACGTTATAATAGGGTTAGACCACATAATCAGGGGTCGACCGGGATCGGAATTTTGTCCCGGCTGGGATGACCCTCGTCCTGGCCGAGACCGGGATGAAACTGAAATCCCGGCCGAGACCAGGACCGGGATTTTCACGATATTTCTATGTTGAAATGAAAAATGTTGAAATGGAACTAAGAGAAGCAGAGGATGACAACATTGATATCAACAGGTGAAGATGAGCCTGAAATCTAATCAATCCTTCGAGTTTCGATTTTCATTTCGATTAGTTCGATTCTTAACAGTTGTTTCATTTGTCTAAGTGAAACAGAGGCGCCTATTGAGGGCGTCCGTGGACGCCCTAAAATTATTATCTGGTGGCTGGTGCTTGAAAATAGAAATAGTGATTAGTAATGGTATTCGGAAATATCTAACCGCAATATAAAGCTCTCTATTCATTCAAACGTTCGAATTTAAGCGCACGCATGATCTTTGTGAAATTTTGTGTTGTAGGGTGTCCAATCCTCGTTTGGACAACTTAGACGCGCAGTTTTAACACATAGTTAATTGTAAACGGTACAAAGCACATCAAGCGCATCCACTACAGGTAATCTATATGATTTGGTTGTCCAGGACACCTTGCAATCTGAACTGTTATGATACTGCACGGCTGAGATCGTACCCGTGTGTGTCCTGTTTCACTCATGTTATAAGTTTTTGTTTTTGTTTATTTGCTGTCGCCTGTGACACATTACATACATGAGGCACTGTGGCCTGTGTGTAACTGTAATGTATGTTGGAATAATTTAATTAATTAATTAACTCTCTGCTATGGTAATGGTATTGTATGCAGTCATCGGTGAATAGACATCAGCAGTTGGGGGGGGGGGGGGGGGAGCTTGGGGCGGCACCCAAGCCCCCCTCCCCCAGTCGTTTGGACACCCAACAAAACTGCCAGCCAGCTCCCACGAGCCGCCTCTGAAGTCAAAGTAAAATACAATTTTATACAATAAGAAACTAAGTTATAGTTTCAACCTAAATTGAAGTCAGCCTTTCCCTAGGTAACAGAACCCTAAAATACCGTAAATTAATCCTAAAACCGCTATGAAGACTGGACATACTGCGTAGCACTTAGGCCTGAGCACTTAAAAGTCCTGATATACCCCTAAGTACTAAGTAGCCTTGTTTCGATATTTGTTGGTACATCCCTATTCGTTTTTCTTTTCAACCCGAGATCTGCCAAACACTTGTTTCACTGGGAGGGGCTGTAGGAGGGTTGTACCCCCTGGCTATAATACTACTACCCTGCCTCCAGAAAGTTGGGAACTTGCAAAAAACCTACAATTTTTAACCTGGTTAGACTGCTGAAAAACCATGTTTTGTGCTAAAAACCGAAATTTCGTCATAACACGTAACCAGTCAATGAAACAAGAAATTCAATGAAACAAGAAATTTAATTTTAGCACATTTTACAGAATAAAAGATGTAAAACAATTCATAAAATATAATGCCCATTTGGTGTATGACTTTTTGTCCTTGACTGCTTGTTTGGTTTTGGAAGGACAGGTTACTAACGGGGCAAGGAATGCGCGTGCCTGGGAGCTTTTGCACACACCAAAACGCTAGTTCAGTTAAGTTTTTAGAGACAAGGCTCAAATTAGGACTATAAGAAAAATTGTTAGCAGACATTAGGGGTTCTGTTTAAAGTTGTTACTATCTAGGTTGCAGTCTTGTTGTGACAAAAAGTCTACACTAAAACATGTTTGATTTTATATTGTGTAGTTCAAGGATTAAAAATGCACCTTCAAGGTGGATATTGGAGAGCAGGCGAAAGATTATGGCTTAAATTTATCAATGGTTATAATAAGCTATAAATATTTTAAACTATACAATGCTAATTAAAAATTTCTTTATACTTCATTCTCAAATTAAAATTTAAAAATTCAAAAATATACATTCATTTTATTAAAACTTTCTCACACATACTTTACTCACAGGACAAGACTTGGAAAACAGTAGCCTAGGGTAATTTAATTAAGATGTGTGTGACCAGCCAGTTATAATGTTTGGAAAATAATATTTGTGCAGTCAAAGTCTTTTACGGTCCAATCAAGCAGGGCGTGGTTATGTTGATTAGCTAGTAGCGCACGTTTTAGCTTTTCTCGCAAGCACATTACACTAGTAGTAAAATCAGTCATTCTGAACTTTGGGGTTAAAATGTTAAAAATTTTGGTTGATCTAGTGTTGTGATTGTCAGGTGGGTCTGCCTGACAGATTAGAAGGCAGGGTTTCCTTGATGAACATGTGTAACCCTCATGTAAGGATATTGGAGCACGGAATTTCATTATCTTGTAGAGCTCCAGGTAACTGTGGTATGTATATAGATTTTGTACAGCTAGAATATTATTATGCTTGAATATCTAATTGATAGAGGATATAGCCGTGATAGACTGATTAAAGGCATTAAACGTTGTCTGAGGAAATATGATAACGTTTTCAGGAAGTTCGGTATTCTAGATGACCGTAACATTATTAAAGAACTCCCCTGATATCTTTTGATTTATTGAAACACGGGTACTAACTCTGCTAAACTGAACAAATTCTGAAACTTAGGTGAATAAGTGTACAACGTGCTAAACCGAAGTTCAGACTGACCAGTGAAAATGGGCGAGCGTACCAAGTGTCATTTTAATTAGAAGTTTTAGTCAGTGATTTATTATTGAAGCTTGTAATTACAATATCTAATGCTCCTATAAATACTTTAATTAATTGTTTGTCCCGTTATTCTTTTTCCTTCCTCTTTTCCTTGTCATCCCCTTTAGTTTTAAGATTCTTGCTATAAATGGCTACAGCTAACACTATTAATGCTAAGTACCAAACAACAAGTGGGAGGTGGATCGTTGGTACCATTAAATCGATTTAACACCGCAATTCCAGTCGCAAGCCTGGGACCACTACTAGCATAGTCACAACATCTACAAAGCTGCCATATAGCCTGACTGACAATTTTCTCGACTGACTGACAATGTTTCTTCTTTTTCCCCATTTAGAATACAAAGATTAGTACATTTTAGCTTATGATTAATATTATATTTTTACCTATAGTTTACTTAGATTTGGTGTCACAATTTGGTATGGAATGTTCTCTAGAACTTGTATAGCTTTGTATGGATTTGCATGCATCCCCTACACTGGCCCGGTTGCATCGATGAGATGATAGGTCTGGCAGTGTTTGAGCCTCTCGTAGGACGGCGGCTAAGGCCGTTCAAGTTAGCAAGCTCATCCCGGTTCGAGCCTCGTCAGAGGTCATTTTTTACTTCAGATTGTTTGTATATTTTGAGTCTATAGAATTTCTATGGATTGTTTAAAGAATTTTTATAGAGTTTTTATAGAATTTTTAATATATCAGGGAATTTCATTTTTATTAACCTGATTTTTAAATTTGTTAGGCTGTTGAGTTTCATACTGCGATTTCTTGTAGTCATTATCCTTTCCACTAGTCCTCTGTTAGAAAACCTGCTAACCCTTCTTGGATATCTGCTTGTTAAGTGCATCTGCCTTATTTAGTCACGTTATATTTTACAGTTTCTATCGCCTGTTTTCTGAACAGTTTCTTGTTCCACCTCCGTCACGTCTAAGGCAAAGGTGCACACTCTCATTAATTTAAGTATCATTTACAGCTGTGCATAAGGGTTAAATTTAAATTATTTAACCTTTTGGTGCTGTATAAAACTAACATTAATTTATTATTATTATTAGTGTTCGACAAATACAACTGACAACATAACCATAAATGTAATATTTATAGAATAAGGGGTAGTTCATGTAGTACGTAATCACTAAGGGCGGGATTTTAAATGATTACGCTGGTGTAATTTTAACACAATAGCTATGATGTGTAAAACTGATTATTAAGAAGGGGGTTAAAAATAGGCCAAAACGTGATCATGTAATTGGTAATATACAAACGAACACTCGCTTAGTAAACACTTTTTACCCAATGTGCTAATTTTAGATAAAATGCTTCGAACAGTATACAAATAATTTCAGCAATGGTAATTGCCTAGCTATATAAGGATAGACACCCTCGAAAAAGGTGCTACTTTTAGATGTCATTTCTTTTAATAAAATAATTGCTGTGAAATCGAAAACAAGTAATAACACGACCAGTTGTATTATGTATTGTTTGTGTAGCGCTCGATATCACGTTTTCGGTTAAAATACGAAATAAATGCAGTGCACCACTAAACAAATGCGTGGCGCGCATACAATTTAAATTCAATTTTTTGATTGAATTTATAGTAAATTACCTCAACTGTACAAATGTAGGCATATTATTGAAAGAAGATAAATACACGTAGAATCAAAACAATATTAACAACATACATTTACTTTTATTTAGGACCCGGCCCCAGGCTAATAGTGTTTATACATTATATTTTATAATTAACACATTGGAAAACCGGTTAAAGCTACGGTGCACTGTGCAGTTAACAACATGAACAGGCTGAGCACCGCGCTCAGTAAACATACATACATTGCATTTAACGGGTGGTACTCGTAAAATATTTGTTTCGAGACCGTCGCGACGAGTCAAACTCGGCGCGCGTCTTGATAGGTTATAAACCTCCAAACATTGCATATAATGGATATATGAATGCGTTGAAACTTTGCAAAAAGTGCGGTCCTCATGTAGCTGATGCGTAGCAGGGTATTTTGGTTCAAACTTAAGACTTCAACGAATTAAAAGTACTCGTATTCCTCCAAATCTACAATTAGAACTAAAACTTTAAAAGTAGCTGTATTTCGCCGTTAAACTAAATGCTAAAGCTTATACTGCAGTTTATTTCATGATTGGGTCGTAATTCAAAAGCCAATTTGTAATTTGACAAGAATTAGTTTGGCTCATTGGTTTACTTTGTAGCGCGATGCACTACTGGGTCGCGCGCGCGCATCCAATAATGCTTCTCGCAACTTCTCTTCGGTAGATCGGCGAGATGCACCACTGTGCATCACCAAGCTGCGAAGGATTGACATCGTGAATCAATGGTTTACTGTACTTAACCATTAACATCACTTGATGCTCAGTTGAACGTCCTGGGACTGGACAGCAATGCACATGCAGGCATATGATCCATATACGAAACATTCTTGTGTTTGGCTTTGGGCTTGTACCAGCCCTAATAATTGGGTACTTCATTATCAGTTATGCGTTTTACTGGGCCGCGCTCAGCCTGTCATTCCGCCGAATCTCTATGTTAATGAATATGATAGCCTGAGGTCCCCAAGTAATTATGCGTTATGATACCCAGCAAAAGTTACTGGCTGGCGGTGGTACTAGAGTTGGTTTAATGTAAACAGGCTGCTTTACCTCGCGCACTACATTAAGCATGATCTGCACGCGTGGCGTTAACGGGTGATACTTGTAAAATATTTGTTTCAAATATTTATAGACCGTCGACGAGTCCAACTCGGCGCGCGTCCTCGGTCCAATGGTCCTGCTAGGTTATAAACCTACAATGTACATGGCACAAGCGTGACGCATTCCAATGTTCAAGCAGCTAGCACGTGACACAATTCAGCCAATCTGAGCTGAGTACAGTGTACAGGAATCCGCAAAGTTAAAGTTGCAAACTTTTGATCGGCCCAAAATGAGACTTTTCTGGAGATTTTGAAATAACTCATTAACTACGTTGTCTCAAATTTCCCCCCTGGGAAGGAAAAATTATTTATATTTTTTCAAAACGAACATTTTGCAAAAAACCGGAAGTCTCTAACTCTTTTACTTTCAAAGTTAGGCCCCATCCAATAAGGTTTCCTGGGTCATTCCGCCGGATCTCTATTCTCTATGATTATAAACATAAATATAATTGATAATAGCCTGGGCGGGGTCCCCAGGTAACAAGTGGCATGAAGGCTTTGTAGCACTAGCGCGATGCCACTGGGCCGCGCCACGCACTCAATTATTATATATATTGAACCAGGCATTTGAGGACGTCGCCGCTGGAACGCAAACTATCATTCTTGCTTCGCACCATCTCCCTTGACCCTCACGCATAAAATTGAAACCAGACACGCTTCAGCGGTTTCATTATAGCACGGTTATGGTAAATAGATGTGCTAAATAGATACAGTTACATGTTTTTCTCGGTCAAAAGAATCAAATTGACATTTTATTGGGTTCATGGTAAAATTAAAAAATAATAAAACGAGTGGTCAAGTGCAGCGAAATCAACAAATTATATCATAAACTATATAACGCAATCTACAGTTCATAGTAACACAAAGTTTTAAAGTTAAACTAATCGAAACATTTCCCCAAAATTACAATCAATCCATACGGTGATTTATTCACCACTAGCAATACATTATCATCAGAAAGGGGGCAATCAACAGTCGAGATTCTGAACAATCTTTCGAATGTAATACAGATATGTTTACTTACAATGACCTTGCAATTAATACTTCACTTTGGGAAGAATAATTTATTAATATCAGATAAGTAACAAATATTAATGGGACCAGCCCAACAGATTTAATCTCGCTGATCTAAAGAGAGCTCAGTGGGTGTCACTGATTAAAATCACCTCGGGAGATCAAATTTTAGTATTGTGAACAGCGGAGAGTTCATGTGATGACTAATAAACTATTACTACTAATATTAAACTAGTTAACTTAATGACAAACACGAGAGGTGGAAAAACCAGACAATCATGTTTTCTGAAAATTCAGTTTTATTGGTTAAAAACAATCACTAACACGTAGATACTAGATAATGTACCAATGTTATCTGGGGCATCATGCAACCATATGTTAGCTCAGTTATTAACGACTGCCTGAAAAACTGTAACATTCACTAAAAGTATAAAAGAAACGCATCCTTCTTCAACATAAATATAATGTTTTATAAAATTCATATTCATAAAGAATCGTCTGACTTTAATTGTCGAGGGGAAAATTGGACGATTAGTTTCGGTCTCTCGTAGCCACACCATTTCAAGCTGTTAAATGAGCATTATAAAGAACACAAAAGTCACCTCGCACAGATACGACATCTAACAATCGCCCAACTTCCCATTATTAACCCACTTCACAGACACGGACGAGATGGGAGATATGCTCGTTTTGACACGTGACAATTCCTAACCAATCACTTTGCAGATATGATCACATGTTAGACAAGTTTACCCTGACAGCCAAGTCATCAGCCTTAAGAGATAGTTCAAATAAGAGCTAACAGTTTATACAGTTAAGGGTGATTTATAATCGTCACTGAAAAGTTAGAGCCGCTGAAAATACCTAGAATTGGAGGAACAAGTACAAAGAAGAGGAGTAAAAAAGAAAACAACACCTGGAGAAGTGACTTTAGCTCCCGGCTGGGACCTAACTCCTAAGGAAACATATATTATGTAACTCCAAGTAGTCCAAAAATGTTCAGATACGATTACAACAGATTGTAAATGACGTTGTCAAGGGGCCTGTCACCTAGGGACAGTTACTAGGGTGTCACGAAATTGTTTTGAAGAGCGGATTTCTAGCTCTTAAGAAGAATTTACTGAGTACTATCTGGAGACCTCTCTCGTTCTCTTGAGCGAGGATGTGACAGATCTGGTTGTAGCACTTTGCCAGCAACACTACAAACTGAAATAGGAACAGGTTATTGAAGGGTTAGACGGTTAGTCTCCTTGAAAAGAGAACTAAAATACCGACTGAAAGAAATCAAATAGAAATGGAGCGAAGTGAAACAAAAGATCGAGAGTAAAACTTAATGTGAGAGCTAAGTGAAAGTGAAAAAGAAACTTTTACCCTGTCGTCATCCAGCAACATCATCTTCTTGAGCATCAACATGACAATCTTGCCCCAACTTAACCTACGTTTATCTTCCTCCAACATGGTGTAGTATTCAAACGATTCAACCGTTAACCTGCAGATAGAGCAGGTGTAAGCCGTAAGGAGGAGTATGGGGGGGGGGGGGGGGGGGGGGGGGGGACAACACTTAACTAATGTATCTTAGTTAAGAGGGGAGGGGCCCTGTTCTATATGTTGTAGACTCAGAGGCAACATATATGTACGGTAAAAGTTTGCAAATAGTACAATCCCGCAAGCCTAAAATTTTTTAATGTTCGGCAAATTTGGAGGAGAAAAACACCGCGATTAAGCTGAACAATACGCCAAATTTGTAACCTTTAGGTACTCTCAGGTCTGATTATTCACCAGCATAGTATATAATGTTGTATCATATGATTGTTTAGTTTAACACATCAAAAACTCATAAGGCCAATGTATTACACAGAGTTTCATGACAATTCAAAACGTAAAATTCTAGAATTATCCTCACGGAAATCTTTACAATGAGACGGGCAGGATGACAGGGGTTAGTTGATCTGGTAATGAGCATTATTGAGGCAGGGTATTCAATATTGTTACTTTACAACATTATATTCCAAGAATATGTGTGTAATTAAGCTAAAATGTGGACTAATTATTTGTAAGAGGGCCAAAATATTTTATGTTTTCATGCCGCCATGGGGTGGTGGCAAGTACCCATTCATCGCAGCCCGCTAGTTTAACTGCCTCTTAATGGGGGGATACAACGGTCATTAATGTGCATTAATGGGCATAAATGGGCATGTATATGTATATTTCAGCAAAATTCTATAATACTGACATTAATGACCAGGTTTTTTTGCAACATAGGTAACAAATTTTGTAGTAGTTCGTGGTCATTTATGTGCATTAAATATTAATGGGCATAAATGGGCATTAATGTGCATTAATGTATATGTAAATAATACTGACATTAATGACCAGGTCTTTTTTGCAGCATAGGTAACAAATTTTGTAGTAGTTCGTGGTCATTTATGTGCATTAATGGGCATTAATGGGCATAAATGGGCATAAATGGGCATAAATGGGCATTAATGTATATGTATATTTCAGCAAAATTCTATAATACTGACATTAATGACCGTTGTACCCCCCCTCTTAATATTATCTAAACGTGGCTTAAATGATTCATTTTCAATCTGTTGAGGGATTCCGATCCAGGAGATACATAATATGCATTAATCTAATAATACCACTCTATACAGGGTTTAACGAGGATCCACCTCCTACCGAGTAATGTCAGTTGATTGTTATTTTTACCTTCCTGGCCCTGGGTCACAAACGGTTCAGGAGATCCTGGCTCCTGATTTTCCACATTGATTTTAAATTCAATTGACGACCCTCCTGTGCCACGGTAGATTAGGAACCACATTAAACGGGCATCACGCCCAAAAATAACCTATCCTCATATTTTAACATGTTGTTGTTAGTGACAAATAATTAAGATTAGTCAAAACCGGATCTTTCTAACTGCTTCCTATCCCGAGATTGGATTAATGTATTACAGTATTACACCTTGCTTGGTTAAAATAACACTGGTCCTACAGCTATAATAAGGTTGTTTCTGTGTGTGTGTGTGCTCGTTTGTTTAGTGTTACGAAGGGTGAAGTTTTTTTATTTAACATCCACAGCACAGTCTAGAGAAACGAATTTAGCTATTTGTTTGTTTTAACTGATAAACAATGGTTAAATCATGCAATAGAGGCAATACATTATACAGATGCTCATATTTAGGATATTCTGGTGAGTCTTGTTGCGAACAGTTCATCCATAGACGGTGCTGTCTCGCCATGGAAGGTTTTCGGAACCGGCTGCCTCATATCATGTAGGGTGTCAGGTCCATGTCCAGGACAGCATTGGAGGTGAGGTTGCTGTTGACCTCGCCGATGATGGTATTCTTGGTTTACCAGAGTCCTATCTTAGGGTGAGTGTTGGTGGCAGCTGTAAGTTTCTTCAGGAGGCTCGTAGCCATGTGCCAGATTTCAAATGCATGAAAGATATCAGGAAACCTAATACACATCATGGAACCTATTCCTACGTGCCTGTCAGTTACAAAGAGCCGATGTCCAGCTTTACCCCGTTTACAAGAATGTCTAGAAGAAGTGGGCAAGCCTGCTTTTCTAACTCACCCTGGAACTGTCCTTTTTGTATGATCACAATGTCTACCAACTCGCTTGTCTTGCAGTTCATTACGGAGTATGTGCAAAATGTGGCACAGTACCCAGGGTAGTCGAACTGGGCATCTCCGCACAACACAAGTTTTTCTGTCAGTCCTTTCAATCTTGAAACGATTGCATTTTTCTGACTGGTGTACATGCGGGATATTACTGGGAAAAGCCATCTGAGATAGAGAACTATTGCTGTCGAGAAAGCACTTGTCTCATGGATACGATTTTGGAAGCCAAAAATATACCGTGTGTGACAGTACGAACTGTTCAAAACGGTTATTGGCAATCAGGATGTACTGGAGTTGTGTGCCTTCGGAATGGACCAAAGGAAATTGCCCGTCTACAAAAATGGTCAATTAAAAGCAGAAGGGTTACGTTTTACCGCATACAAGAACTTCCTAAACATGTGTATTGTGTGGTATCCGTTGGATTGGGAAACATCGGAGGTATGCATTACCAGCTTGTGTAATCGGGGAAATAAGAAGACTGTACCCTTCAGCTTGACAGCTTCAGGCCAATACACAGCCTTCAAGGAGTCTCTCATAAGCTTCATATTTCGAGAAACTGTTTCCACGATTGTAAAGTTATGAATACAATTTGATTTTTAGGTATGTTATAAGCATGAAGTATTGAAGTTTATATTGAGTACCAAAGCTGATTCTGAACTGTTGTAATAGAAAGTAACTTTTTTTATCTCAACACTTATTTTACTTCGGACATTCCAACAGCCACATTGTTACACAAGTGTGTAACCAGCCAATTACAGGAAGCCGAAGGATTCAATTATACATTAGGCCAGTGACGGTTAAGGTAGTGTGTACCATACTTTCTTCATCCGAGACTTTGCTGCAATGGGCAGCTCCTCATTTAACCCTCACACCCGATTTCTCGAGTATTTGGCTGAGTAGACCGGGGGGCTGCATAGACCACTCAGGATCCTTAGCTGAGCGTCGACGACGCTCACCCCACGGCTAGTGACAGAGTCGGGAATCGAACCTGGTACCTCAAGCAATGTCAGGCAGAATAACCAACTGAGCCACTAAGCCGTTTTAACATACATATAACTAAGTCAAAACACCACAAATAAAGGAAGTGGGAACACAAATACTACTGAATTAACAATAGAAACGTGTGCTCTACTGTGTTATTTTAACCAAGCATGTCAGATCATGGAGTAAGTAGGGTTGACGTCACATGAAATTTGTGATATGGGGATTGGGGCTGTAACTCGGTAATTGAATCAGTTAGAGGTTCCGTTCTTATGTACGTACTATGTATATCATTATTTGAATATTTTTTGATACCAAATCTCCAGCGTGATGACCCTTTAAGGAGTGAGCCATTTGCCAAGATTCATCCTCTTTTGTTTTTTCTCAATTAACGAGATACATAATATGCATTAATCTAATAATACCACTCTATACAGGGTTTAACGAGGATCCAATGACTACCGAGTAATGTCAGTTGATTGTTATTTAGACCTTCCTGGCCCTGGGTCACAAACGGTTCAGGAGATCCTGGCTCCTCATTTTCCATATTGATTTTAATTTCGATTGACGACCCTCATGTGCCACGGTAGATTACGAACTACATTAAGATTACAGTCTCATCTAGGTCAATCCTATAATAGATATATGATATAGTGTAACATATAATTATAACGTATAATAGCTATAACTATACGAGACTACAATAGAAGGAGCTTTTGTAGTCCGCTATATCACTCTGAAGTGGTTCGAGGCGTGGCAACACCCCTGCAATAAGTATAAAAAGGGAGCTCTACACATCGTCTAGTCTAAACTACAACGGAAAATGTAATTTGGTCGCCATCTCAAACACTCTGTTCCATGAGGTCTCCCCCCATACCACACTTCACAGTCCCCCTGATATAATTCTATTTATCGGCTGTAATTGTTCCATAGTCTATGGCACTGCTAGTGGTTTCTAATTGCCCAAATTGTCCCAAATTTCCCGGTTTCTTTATCAGCGAGTATCTCATCAGTTGTATTCTATCAAGCAATTGAATTTTAAAGCTGTGAACGTATTGTAACGTGGCGAGATGGACCAATCAAATTGTTTGTGACAACAAAGAGAAACCAGAGTTGAAGATTATTGACAACCATGAGATGCCTGACCAGGAGTACTGTTTCCCCCTCTTACACCTGATCAGCTGAACAAATACCTCTAAATAGTTTAGTAAACCACAGTCCTGACACCAAATATAAAGCAACACAATTAAAGCTTTGTTGAACTACTGGAAAATCTAATTGGAAACTGTATTGTGGTCGGCAGGAATTTGATTTAACAAATCAGTGAGGTTAGGTGAGATTACCAGGTATTTGTTTACTTTTCATCAGATTCGGGTGGTTGCTTTGGTATTATTGGGTAGTTGCTTTGGTAATGGTATTTTCTTTGATTTAAACTCCAAAATGGATGAGAAATGTTGGCCTCTTGTCAGTTATTTCAACAATGAAATATTAGCGGTATTTCTTGAGTAGTACAAACATTTTGGCTTGCCAGTAGTGTTGTGCATTGTTTACTTTTCATAACTTTATTTGGTGATGTACATTGTGCAACCCCTGATTACAATATAATGGGAGATAAAATGGAAATGGTGGATCTGAATCGTTACCTGTGTAGGTATATCTCTGTTTTAGGCCACTCGTCAACCCTTGTCATATCACTGTATATCTTGTGTAATATCCGCAAGGAGCACAATAAACTCGCCGTTTCCTGCTTCTGTAGATCCGGCAACGTCCGCCCCTTAAATCCTGGAAATATTGTGATTGATAATTCAGATAGCTAAGGTTAATTCTTGCATTATTATTCCATAACGTTTGAATTTAAATTAAAAATGTAGCTTAATTGTTGGCTGGACTTCAAAATTAGATCCAATATTAAGTGGAGGAACAACTGAAATCCAGTAGAACCATATTGTTGGAGATAATATGTTATCTGTATAGCTTAGTGTTAACAAGTTAACAGGATCCAACAATGAATCACTCTCTCTTTCTCTCTCTCTCTCACTCTCTCTCACTCGCTTTCTGTGTGTGTCTGTAATCTCTTAAACCATTTCCAGCTATGTCATTGTTACTTTGTTGTGTTACATTGTAATCCCAATTAACTTCCTTATCAACTATCTAATAGAACATTAGATAATCCACTTCACCAACATTTACCCAAATACTAATATAAACTTGTAATCCGATCAGTTAGAATAAGTTTTATTTTGTTTTTATTTTTTAACATTTTTTAAAGAAAACCCCTTACAAACTAACAAGTTAGTTTGTTTGTATTAATTGCGGAGTTAAATTGAACAATTTGAATATCCAATAACTTTGAAATGGCATCATGATAAAGAATATTGAAATTAAGATTTTTATTTACACTACAATATCACAATCTATCAAATAGTCAATGTTTGGGGTGTATGAAAGGGAGTATTTCGTGTTAAGTACAGCAAACAAACAATGAAGTCTATGAAGTCTGCACCAATTTCAATGTGGTAGTGGTAAAGAAGAGGAAACGAACAATTTACAGAGACGCTATTTAGCTAATTGTGTTAATAGTGCGCGGCAGGTAATTGTAGTTTTATACATAATTACATCAGAGAACAGCATGGCATACACATCCCAACTCCCTTCAGTCTAGCATACTACTGTTCTATCAGATCCAACTAATATTAACGATAATTATGATGATATAAAGACAATAATATCTTCATCTTTATAGAATATAAAGAGGCTAGCTCGTCCAGTTCCTTCATTTGATAAATTCCTTCATTCGATAAATTAGTTCATCGAACGTCCCATTGTCTGCCCACTAAAATGAACAACAAAGAAATTTCACTATAGGTAGACTAACAAAGTATCGGGTAGGATTCCATGTGGAACTTCTTTGTTATATTGGCGCATTTAATTGGTCTTCTGGTATTAAAGGTCGGTATACTTCTCTTGGAACACTCCCCTAAGTTGTATCTTGATCAGTTAAGTGAGATGGCAGTTTGCCAGCTTTCAGTTTGTTATCTGTTCGCTTCACCTACTAGCCTTTAATTACCGTGATCCATTTAACCGCACGTTTTGAAAGAGATAGTGGTTAATAGTTGATAATATATTGCTGAGTACCTTTTAAAGATATTTAAATTTAGAAGTTTATCTTTTTGAGACACCGCGAGTTAAGACGTTTTAAACGTTATAACGGACAATTAAAAGACCTGGAATATCCACGTGCACCGCGTTACCAGGGTTACCAGGGTTACCAGGTTAACATTGGCTTATTAATTATCATGTTAAAACAGCTAACCTTTTATTTCCCGGTGTCAGCCAGTAAGATCATTCGCTAAATTGTTCGTATATTTTGAGGTTAAAAAAGTCAGGCTAATATCACTGTTCAGTGTTCATATATGCGCCATGCGGTCATGTTACATGTATACCCTTTAATTCGACAACGCCATACGGTAAGAGTCCAAATCATCTTTAAAATTCTTAAAACGTACATACTTTATCTGTACGGTTGGTGATAACCTTGTAAATACAGATAAGAAAAATATTCTTTTTAGAATTTGTCCACTCCAATCATTAGTGTTCTAATAGGAAAATAATGCGATAATATTGCGCGTCGGTATCTACTAATAATAATCTAGGTAAGATCTGCAAACTGGTTTGATATTATAACCTACCAACAACTAGATATTAAAACCTGTATTGCTCTTATTTAAGATTATTATATCTTCCTATCTCAGTACTATAAGAGCTGCCCCACGTCTAGTGACGCGGGAGTAGTAGAGGTACCGGGAGGGACAGGATAGTGGAGGGACAAGGTCCAGTACCGATTATTATTAATACTAATCAGAACTCTATCTTACTTCACTTAATCAGGGTTGCCTCGAGCATGAATACGGCATTTCCGATTACATGGACAATAGTTAGATCCCATGTTATATTAATAGTTATATTAATAGTTCAACTCTCTTAATATAGATACTATAATAATAGTATAGTTAGTACTGTTAATACCCCAGTCACACGCCACTGAAGAGGTTATTGAATAATAATAATGAAGGTTTGTTGATGCTGACTGATGATATGACTGATGACATTACAGAAGTTGTGAGGTCATGGAACTGAGAGCTGCACAATATTGGGCAACTCAGCAAATGAGATATGAATATGGATGAGTTATTGTTCACAGTATATCATTATCAGGTACCTCTCATCATCATCTCATTTACTAATTAAATCTCTGTCTTACTTATCTTTGCCCTTCATTACGTTTAGTTTACTTATCTCACGGTTGTTTGCTTTGATTTTAGAAATGGGCCCAGAAACAGGAACATTTTCTTTTCAGTAGTGTTTATTGTCTATTATAATGCACAATGTGCAATGTTCCGATCCTTAGTCTCGAGACTCACTAGAGTGTGAGTTTGAGGTGCCTAGGAATTTGTCGTTATTATTTGATTTGTCATATTTACACTGGAAATATAACAACAATGCACCTGAATACTATACGAAATCTTAGATTGATAATATGAATCGTTTGTTCAATTCTGACACGAATTAGTTATTAAAAGGTCGGGCCAATACAACCTGAATAACGAGCTTGATATCTGACACACTGATATCTGTACAGTTTTAACAGATTCTATTGTGTATTTCGCTACAACGATCGTATCTTATCCTCATCAATAACAACATGAACGATACAATAGTTCGATATCACATGTAATTATCTGTTATAGACCTATCAAAAGTTACATTTAGAAAACGTGTCCTTAAGTAGTAGGGACCTTGCATGACGTCTAATTCTTTAATGTTTCTTAAATAAAGACTCAACTATATCAGATTTGTTTATTGCAAGTTGTGGATTTTCTCTTTCTCTGGAGTGATAACTCAATAGTAAACCCAAAGGAGACTCCATAAGTTGTATCGACCAATGTCGTTCGGTAATCCTTTCAACCAACTTATCAACCGAGCTTTTTTCTCAATTGATGAAAACACGTACGCGTGACTCGTTTCAAATCACGATGTAATTTTTGGAGCAAATCTGCATTTGTTATGCGTTATGCCCGAACCAAGACAATTATTCAGTAAGGATAGCTTACGTGCATTATACCAATACACAATGTTAACGAATACATTTTATTAGAAAGTCATCACTACAGAATTTGAAGAGGATTGAAGAAGAGTAACTTTGTCTCGATCACATATTATGAGAAAAAGTCCTTCGGGTAGATGGCCCCAGCCAGACGATAGCCATATGAGAAAAAGTCCTTCGGGTAGAGGGCCCAAGCCAGACGATAGCCAATTAGATGGCTCCTCAGATCGGCCCTCAAATGGAACCTTCGATGTCCCCATAAATAGGCCCTCAAATGAAACCTTAGTTGGGCCGTCAAATGGAACCTTCGATGGCCCCATAGACATGCCCTCAAATGGAACCTTTGATGGCCCCATAGATAGGCCCTCAAATGGAACTTTAAATCCCGGAGATAGAGATGGTGATAGAGGGGACGGTAAAGGTAAAGCATCAAAGGGAATACACGCGGAGTTCCTTAACATAAAGGCTTACTATCTCAAGTATGAGTACAGAGAGCAAGATATGATCTGGGGAGTAAGCATGATACTTATCTGCATCCTCCTCATTGCCATCTGCATGTCCCTGAACATGCACGTGTTTAGGTTCTACAGGAAGAAGTTTAAGCAGGATGTAGTGTCTTTACTGTACGTTATGATGTCTCTGGCAGATATTCTCGTAGCAACGGGTAGCTTCGTAACCGTGATCTGCCTGATACTTTATCTAACAATGGACTTGGAAGAGAAGGACATGGATTTTGTAGATCCTTCAGTTAAATATCTATGTTATATCTCATTCTTCATCTCAAGTATTGCAATCAGGGTCTCCATTTTTCTCAATGCCTTGCTGAGTATAGTCCGTACCATCATGATAAAGAATCCCTTCTACGAGACGAGCAAAAGAGGGATCTGCCTTGCAGTAGCATTTGTAACACTCTTCTGGATAATAACAGCAGCAGCTGAAGTCTACACCCAAAAGTACATCAACATTGAAGCTCACTGGACCACGTTCGAGACTGAAATCCCAGAACTGGAAACAGAAGAAGGGTACCTGAATAACAGGAAGCAGTACCTGTACCTGTGGTACTACATCTACACGTCTGCTGCTGGCTTCTACTGCACCTTGGAGTTCCTGGGGAGCAACCTCCCCTGGTCTGTAGGTTTCTACGATGTTATGGGGGATGTGGATGGAGATGACCTGAAGCAGTTATACAGTGAGAATTTTGCTCTCTATGGAATGTTCCTGATCGCTTTTGTCATTCCATGCCTTATCTCCATAGTTTGCCTTATCATTAAAGCTGTTATCCTGAGTAGACCAAGTGTGGGGGGCACACAAAACAACAACAAGGTGGTCACCAACACAATAATGATGCTGACACTAGTGTTTGTGATCTGCAACACCATCAACATCATCGTCATCAGTCTGGCCATGTTCTACGGAAATTGGTTCGAGCTGGACGAGTCTGGGATTGAGAAGGATGATGACGTCATAATGAGGTTCTACAGGACAATGTTTGCAGTTCAGCAGGTGTTACCACTGCTCAACTCTACACTCAGTCCAATGATACTGATATGGCGGGGTGCAGCGCTGAGAAAGAGTTTTGCGGAAACTTTTCACAAAGTGCTGCCTTCCCGTGGAGGGGGGACGAAAACAATAACTTCTTCGGTGAGGGCTACAGTCATGACTACCGCGGACTTGTAAAGAGGAATGACTCACTAAACCACTAACAAGCTGTACAAACTCGCTATTAATTTGATATTTTAGCTTGTTATACTTCGGATACTTAATAAGTATTATCTTAACTAGTCACACAAGTTATTGAGACAGCTTATAAAGAAGCTTATAGTAGAGCTGTTGAGATAGTTTTGTGAATTACAGTGTGATGGTTTAAGCTTAGAGAGTGTTTAACTAGAAAGCAACAATGTTAAGTTTAATTATTTATAGTCTTGTATAATATGATTATATAATTAATGATTTAATTTGAGTGTTTCTCTTTGTTTGAAATAATTATATAATTATATAGTAGTCTTGTTAAATAATTTGTGATATTTTGATGATGAATAACGTCTAATTTAAATTTGATATCTAATCATAAACCTTTCAATTTAATTTGCACTATCTCGGAGCGAGTTGCAGTTTAATTGCTTTAAATTTCAACTTGATATTGGGATATAATACTATATATTACTAATAGGTCGAAGGCATATATCATATAATGTATATGTATATGGTAGTTTCTTAGTTCTAACATCTAACTTAGTTTTAACATTGGTGTTTAGCATCTTTTCTGGAGAAACTGGAAATTCCGGGAAATGCAATAACCTCTACCCAACTTGATTTCTAATTAAATATATCCGTTAATATAAATGTATTATCATGATTTTGATCATTCAAAAATGTCTCTTTACTGTTTAGAAACATATCATCAAAATGACACGAGCAACGCATGATTGTAATGGGATGAAACTTGAAAGTATTTTCTATAATACTTCATTGACTAATTGGCAGTCCTGAATAACATTAAACATTAGTGTTATCATTCTAGAAAAAGTGAATTAAAGGGATTAAAATTTTAATTGAACTGATTGTGAAACGCATGTGAATAATACAATGTGAATAATACAATATTAAAATAATAAAATAATAAAATAATAAAATTATAAATTAATAAATAAATAAATAAATAAATAAATAAATAAATAAATAAATTAATAAATTAATAAATTAATAAATTAATAAATTAATAGATTAACAAATAGTAAATTAATAAGAAGCTTTTTTACTAACCGTATTTCCAAAGTATTCTCCTTTGATCTATGTCCATGTTGAATCCCTTTGAGAACTTGTGCGACTCAAAGAGACACTCCACTATTCGGAAGAGCTGTTTTGTGGTGAGGAAGTTGAACATCCCCTCGTGCTCACTACCCTCACTGATATAGTACTGAAATATAGTAGTAGTTAATGGGCACTGGTGGAAAAAATAAAGTTTTAGTACTACACATGGTGGGAATATACGATCCCCCTTCCAACCCAGGGATTTCTCTGCTAAACCAAGCTGACTAACCGGATCAATCTGAGCGTCCTCCTTGGCGCTACTAGCCGGGAAGAAGATGATGTTGTCAATAGTCTGGACTATCTCCGCGTGGACCACGCACCCTATATCCAGATGTTGGAAGAGGTACTTGTCAGCTCTACTCACTGCTAGTTGGGTGTTATCTGGCTCCATGCTGGTGTCACTGTGCATCGAGACCTGGGGAGAGAGGTTTACAGTTGTAGGGCGGTAGAGATTAGCATGTCCCGTTGAAATAAGACAGTACTGGAACGTTACAAAACCCTAACATGAACATAATATAACCTAACCTGATCGAAGGAAGTATCTAAAGTAGGTTTCCATATCCTCATGTCAGCAGGTAAGGTAGAAGCGTACACATCAGTGATGGTGTCTATAATGAGGTCCCAGTCAACCTCTCTGAAACTCTGTCCAGCTCCCATCACCAGGTTCTCTAGACAGTTCATACCTGACTTAGCGAGCTGCTCGTTATCTGAGGGGTACAGGGTCAGCACTCAGCCCTCAACACTTGGCACTCAACACTTAGCACTTAGCACTCAACACTTAGCACTTAGCACTCAGCACTCAGCACTCAGCACTCAACACTTAGCACTCAGCACTCAGGACTAAGCACTCAACACTTAGCACTTAGCACTCAGCACTCAGCACTCAGCACTCAGCACTCAGCACTCAGCACTCAGGACTAAGCACTAAGCACTCAGCACTCAGGAGTCAGGACTCAGCATCATATTTTTAAAGCTACTTTTTCGATCAATTAAGTTAGATTGAGAAAATCGCCGACGTGTTAAAAATGTCTCTGGGGAACAAATATGAAGCATCATTGACACACACTCCCACCGGTGCAGAAGGTTCTTGCAACCTTTTTGGATTAGGAGATCAGTATAAATGCCTTCAGAATAATACCTCACCTTGCTTGACACACCACTGTATGAGATTGAGGAGCTCAACAAGGAGCTCAGCGAGTATTGAGAAGTGTTGAGTGAACACATCCACAACAGCGTAGAGAGCGTGGTTACAAGTTGTAGTCATCCACTCCTTTCGCTGGATCCTGTATTGCTGAGGAGGGTGAGGTTTAGTTAGAATTCTACTGGGGGGGGGGGGGGGGTTGGATTTAAAATATAAATACTGATAAAATTAAAGCTAGATGCTATTGGAGAGGTTCAGTAGGAACTAGGAAGCATTACGTCGTAACCTTATAAATGCATGGGAATCATGTGACACTTTCCCAAAACAATGCTATATATTCCACACAGGGTATGCTCAAATATTATAACCTAAAATCACGCTAACATTTCCAAAAACGAAGCCCAAGATCCTAGAGTCTACCTCTGGAGTAAGCTCCGTGAGTTTCATGTGGTCGAAGATCCGGAACACAATGTTAAAGAGGTCTCTCCACCAGGACACCTTGTACTCCTTACCATGGTGCTTCATTATCTCAAACATTACTGTCAGGGCTCTGCAAAAGTAGTCACGTGGTTAGTCACGTGGTTAAGGAGCCCGTCTTTGCAAAGTTATTTTCAGAGAAAGTGGAACTCGGAACCCAGATCACAATATCCCATTTGATAGAACAATTTAATCGATTATTAAAGTTATTGAAGTGACTTATCAGAGATAATAATAATATGAATTAACAATTATGTAAAGTAAGAGTGATTAGTAAGTTAGTTAGTTAGTGAGTTATATTACCTGGTCCTGACATCCAGTTTGCACCTGCTGATAATACAACTCAGTTCAAAGAGAACAGGGAACCAGCCCTTCACCCACACATTCTCTAGGTTATTCTCATCTCCCGCAAATTGCTGAGATAGTCAGGCGGTTAGGATGATGGATATTTGGTGATTTAACAAATCTTAGTCATGACAGATTTACCAAGGTCACTGTTAAAAATGCGGAAAAGGGGCTTAATTGATCATTAGACTGTTAATTTTATCACAGCTGCTCCTGTACTGTATTCTGGCAGTTCGGATTTGGTTAAACAACATACCTCCGGGTTCTCGGCTACATAGTTGGCACACCGTCTGATATACCGAATAGCTTCCATGCTGGTGTCAGGGAACGCAGCGTTACAAGCGAACTCTGACAAACATTTTACTGCATCTTGAAACGAGTCTCCTATCACCTGTTTCAAAATGTTATTATAAAATTTGGAACTTAATTACAAATTATGGAAATTAACGAGAAATATTGCTCGAACATGCTGGCAATAGTTTGAAACTTACCGAGAAATATTGCTCTAAGATGTTGAAGTTGTTTGAAACTTACCGAGAAATATTGCTCGAAGATGCTGGCAGTAGTTTGGAAGGCCAGCTCTACAATAGCTTGGTCTCGATCTGCAGCAGCCATGTGGAAAACGCTGAAGATGTTGTTCCACCCCGACCGTATGTTGCGAGCTTGACTATTTACCTGTAAAATGATATCTTGACATAATTAACAAAGATCAAATTAATTATTGTTATATCTTAATTACCTGCATTTAAAAATTTAATTCAAAACTTTTTCAAACATATGCCGAAAAATAACATTCTTCAAACTTTGACTGGACATTTCAACTATTATGTTTGAATAAAAAATGCACACATTCATATTAATATTATGAACAGCCAACAAGTATTAAAGTTGAAATTACCATCTGAGCGATGCACCTCACGACCATGTCTCGTATCAGGTTATTTTCGTTGTTCTTCATTATGGTCTCGAAGGGGCGGAGGAAGTCCTTCTGGAACCGGAAGTTTGGTAACTCGCCCTGAAACACGACATTACAAACATTAGGGGTAGGTGAAATTTAATTAGGGATAGGGTACGTACGGCCACGGGACTCTATCTTTATACATTAAATTAAATTAATTTTCTTGGAGTGATTTTCCGGCTAGATGCTAATGATGATGCATCAGAGCAGCCACCCTGAATCTTGTCAACAAGTTGATTAATACCAGAAATTAAATTATTGTTATTTCAATATTGTACTCCTCTTCGTCTGTAATGAACTGGACTTTTAGACAGCTGTAAGTACAATGTAAGTAATATTGCTTTTTACAAAGCATAAAATGTACCAGAGATAGCGTAACACAGATAATAATATCCACGGTGAACAGAGAATTCCCTTACAAACTCTAGCATTGTATCTACGACTTTTCTTGATTTAGACATTTATATTACGAACAGTCGTTTCTACACTAAATTATATGACAAACGACGTGATTTCAGTTTTAAAGTCGTCAGTTTCCCTAACCTTAACTCCAACGTACCTGTGAGACCTTCATATGGAATATTTGTAGGTGAACTATATAGGATATGCAAATCCTCCTCAGTAGTGAATGAATTTATTCATGATGTTAAATTATTAATCGATAAACTGATCACCCAGAATTTTGAACGGAAAATCTTACATAGATATCTTAAATTATTTATTAACAGTCAACCAGCGTGCTTTCTTAAACACTGGCACAATTTCACAGTTAATGACTTCATGTAATTATATTGTGTGTGAGGCCAAACCTTGTAATTTCTTATGCATGTTACCTCGTCCGTGATCTATTTATTTCTCCCTTTGATCGTTCGGAACAGTTTTATATCACGTTAACTATTCCTTCGCAGTTTATTATTTAGCTTTCTGGCAGTATATATTTTGTTTTCTATATACTTTCAGACTTTTACTTAAGTCTAGTTAAACATTACTTTATCATATTTTATCGAACTAAGGTGTAGTATTGCCAGATCCCAGTTCATTTTGTAACGGAGTTTTATATTAACAGGAAACGATGTAACAGAGTCGATATATTTTAATGTTGCCATGGGATGGGATGGCAAGTCCCCATACATCGTGGCCCGGTAGTTTCATTGCGTCCTAATATCTTAATATACGACTAAAGTCAGTGTCCTTTTGGAGAGCAAACAGGGCTAGAGTCCAGACTATTCTAATCTGAGTACATACTGAACGCAATTTTTTAACGCACAAACTGGTAGCCGGTCACGTTTGGGTTCTTGTTTACCTATTCAATTATGTAACTAGAATTTAATGACATGATCCTTAAAACTACGTACGATTAAAGTATACAATTTTTGACTTTATTTTTGACTCTATAGTTGGAGCCACAAGGCCAAGGGTAATTTTTGATTGTTAAGGGAATTTTTTGAATTCTTAAAGGGTTGATTTTATATAGGGTCAATGCTATATTATGTGTATATTGTTTGAAAAATTTTATATTTTTGACTCTATATGGAACATTTTAGTATGCTAGTCGCTACATTCTCTTGCCATATTATTTGGGATGGTATCAACTTTTGCCTTTTTCACCTTTATAACAGAGGTAAATTGTAGGTCCATTTTGCATGTTTACCTAATACCAAGCCCATAATTAAATTTACATACAATTTTAATTTTTATTTAAATCTTTAATAATCAATTGTTTATTTTTGCTTGTCACTGTTCGTTTGTTTCCTGGCCCCAATAATTCTCATACAATACTTCTAAAAACAAAATTATACCCAAGAATGCAAGTTGTAGTTTGTACAGCAATTTTAATCAAGTGAACATCAAAGTATCGACAACTTATTGAAATAAATATTATGAGTACATAGTACATATAATAAAGAGAAAGGAATACATTCAATATTTATAATTCAAATTGATGCAAAATTCACTTCTAAATCATGTCTATTTCTTGTCATAGCACATGTGTTCGTGCTTACAGCAGTTACAATCGCTACAGAAGACCAGTCCAGCAGCTGAGTCGCACTTCTCATCCTTCTCCTCATTCTCCTTATTATCGTCTCCGTTTTCGCAGGGCATCATTAATTCAATGTACTTCTTCGCACTCTCCTTCCTCGATTCAATGTAGTAGCACTTCTTATTCATCTTCACTGTAGTGCAGTCTGTCTTTCCTTCTGCTTCACATGCCTCTTTAGCTTTAGCCTCGCTCTTCAAACATTTTGTTTCTAAGGAGATCCTCTTCCTGCATAATGTCGGTTCGTCACCATCACCATCACCATCACCATCAGTATCACCACCTTCATCACCATCGTCTCCACCATCAGACTCATCATCAGGATCAGCTGCGTCACATTCGCTGCCTCTGCATTCAACTTGAGGGATGTGAGAGTATGTTGAGATCATGCACATGTTCTGCTTTTCACGGTCCATCAGGATGTATCCTTTGTCTCCCCAGCCGACACCCCAACTGTTCCTCACTTTCCAGTACTTCCTTCCCTTTTCAACACCGTATCCAACAACAGCAACAGCATGATCGGGCTGCTTGTTACAGGAGTTATCCACCATAACCCCACTTTTGTAGACCATGAACTTGTTGCTTACTTTGATGGCTACAGAAACGATATGTTTAGATGCAAACTCCAGTAGGTTAGCATCACCCTTGATTTCGATGTTTCCAGTTACTCTGACATCACTGCTATCAAGAGCGTTCGCCACATTTCCATATTTGCATGTTCTTGAATCTTTTCCCGTGTACGGAGCTGCACTAGTTGGAGCAATCCTGTCTTGCTTCTTAGAGTAGGTGTAGCAATCTTCCATCCAACCACCCTGGCATCCGTCTCTGTTTGTTGCGCATTCCATATACTCCTGTTCAGACAGACTCATACCCTTCTTGCTGTTTACAAAGTACATCTCACCTTCGAGAGCAGCTGTAGCAGCATATGTCCAGCAAGAACCACAGTTTCCCTGGTTTTTGACACCACTGATTCTGTCGCTGAAGTCTCGACTAGCTGGAACATCCCGGCGGACCAACCTCTCCTCAGCTGCGTAGTCAGTCTCTCCACTATTCTCATGCCCGGAAGAGTTGAATCCACGGTAAGCTAACCTCTCTTCTTCTGTAAGAACGGAGAGGAAGTTGCACTCTCCGACGAAGGGAACATCATCGTCACTGTTAACTTCAGCAACCACAGCGGAGTAGGCTGTGAAGGATTGGAATCTTGCTTTCATAACTAGTGAGGCTCTGACTGGGGTAGTCCATCTTGTTCCCCGAACTTGTCCAGGGCGGCTCTGAACTCCTCCTGCAGACTTGCGAGAGTTCCAACCATTACAGCGGTGAGAAAAAGAAGCAGCTTCATCATGTTGAATTTGGATAATGATGCAGGAGAGGTGAGTGCCGTTATAAAGCAGAAACATAAACAAAAGTCTTTTGTAGTCGTTTAACGAACCGAGGCATAACCATTGGTCTATTCTTTAATCGAACAAAGATATCTTTTGTGTAATCCAAGGGGCGTATGGATATATATTATATATATATAATATATATACGGCTATATATCCGGGCTATAACCCCGTATGCGATCTGCTGAACAATTTTCTCAGAACAAGCACTTTTGTTATAAGCAAAAACATTGTTAGTAGAACAAAGACTTCCGTCAGCTCATTCTGGCTCACGACTGGGCCTGCTTTGTACAATGAGAGAGAAAACGAGGTTAACGTCTAGTGGCAAAATTAGTGAATATAACTAGGATATTACAAGCTGTTCATTGTTCAAAGCTGTTGTAGTTAAGTCATCTTCTTTCTTTTATTTAAAAAAAAGAAGTGGAGATAATTTCGAGATTATGAATGTCTTGATATTGATGCTCCGAAAAAAACAAACATAAACGTCGGAAATTTAATCATTAATTAACTTTAATTAACTTATTTAACTAACTTATTTATAGTTATTGATAGATGAAAAAGTTTTAGCAAAATTGACGTTCCCTGATGGACACGTTTTCTTTACTTAAAAGTTAAAAAGTTAAATGTAATGACGATCATTGACCAAAATAATTAGACATTCACAAAACATGTGCTACTAGACACTAAGACGTACGAGTAGTTCGGGGGGGGGGGGGGGGGGGGGGGGGGGGGGGGGGGGGGGGGGGGGGGGGGGCCAATGGCATAAAATGGCATAAAATGGAGACTTTTTCTATGGAGAAAATGGAAAAACCCATGGGTAATTCTCCATTTTCTCCATTTCATGCCATGAATTTTGTCTTCGAAATTTCATATTTAACACCATTTAACACCTAAATTGGACATCCTAACATGTTTATTTACGCTTACTAGGGGCGTAACAAGCTTATGAAAGCTCATCTAGTAGGCTACTAGATGCTTATAGTTATACTAGGTTAGTAGAGGCACACTTCAGGCAAACTCATAATTACTCAAGCCTAGTATAAAGTTATTTCTACAGGCTACAGCAGGAGTGAGTAATAGGGAAGAGTAATAGGCACTGAGAAGTGAGACCTACATCCTCGAAAGTCGAAACAAGCTCGCACTGGAAAGGGGAGGCCTGCCTTCCGAGATCGCATTACCAGGGGGAAGACTCGAGTCCAAATTTGTGTATCGAGGGGTAGGTACAGACTTCTATAAACCGAAAAACCAAAAAAATATTTTCGGCTAATAATGAAGAGGGTAGCATGAAACGTGGAGAAAAGTGGTTTTTAGAAAAACTTTGAAAAATTTTGACTTAGAAAATGTTCGGTCCGAGTCATTTTCGATACGTACCTCCCGTATCGAGAGCTCCCGATTCCGAGCTCGTGTTGCAAAGGGGAGGCCTGCCTTCCGAGATCGCATTACCTCGAGTCCAAAATTGTGTATCGAGGGGAAGGTGTGGACTTCGAAAAACCGAAAAAATATTTTTGGCAAATAATGAACAGGGTAGCATGAAACGTGGAGAAAAGCGGTTTTCGATACGTACCTCCCGTATCGAGAGCTCCCGATTCCGAGCTCGTGTTGCAAAGGGGAGGCCTGCCTTCCGAGATCGCATTACCAGGGGGAAGCCTCGAGTCCAAAATTGTGTACCGAGGGGTAATTTTCTAAGACAAAATTTTTCAAAGTTTTTCTGAAAAACACTTTTCTCCACGTTTCATGCTACCTTGTTCATTAATAAGCCGAAAATATTTTTTCAAATTTTTTCTGAAAACCGCTTTTCTCCACGTTTCATGCTACCCTGTTCATTATTTGCCAAAAATATTTTTTCGGTTTTTCGAAGTCCACACCTTCCCCTCGATACACAATTTTGGACTCGAGGTAATGCGATCTCGGAAGGCAGGCCTCCCCTTTGCAACACGAGCTCGGAATCGGGAGCTCTCGATACGGGAGGTACGTATCGAAAATGACTCGGACCGAACATTTTCTAAGTCAACATTTAAAAAAGTTTTTCTGAAAACCACTTTTCTCCATGTTTCTTGATACCCTGTTCATTATTGGCCGAAAATATCTTTTTTTAAAATAATTTTTCTCGAAATTCTAAATTTTTCAGGTTTTCAATGGCATAAAATGGCATAAAATGGAGACTATTTCTTTGGAGAAAATGGAAAAACCTATGAGTTATTCTCCATGTTCTCCATTTATGCCATTGGCCCCCCCCCCCCCCCCAGTAGTTCTTGATAAATATAAGCTATATTCTAGTAGTAGTCGTCTAAAAAAGTAAGTGGCTATAATTTTGAGCGGCTCAACATATTGATGCAAACGCTTGCAGGACCCATAATAATTTTCAGCAATAATCAACAGTGGGGGAGGGTTTGGGTGAAATCTAGTAAAATATCATGATTTTATGATTCTGTTAACGAAGGCTTCAAAGAACTAACATCATTACACTTACATTATACACATTTTAATTTCAATTTAAATCTTTAATAATTCATTGTTTATTTTAGCGGTATCACTGTTCGTTTGTTTCCTGGCCCCAATAACTCTCATATCTTTCCAAGAACAAAAATATACACAAAAATGCAAGTTGTAGTTTGTACAACAAAAATAGGGTGAAAATTAAAGAATCGGCAATCTATTGAATTAAATGTTATGAGTACATAAAATAAAGATTGAATAAGTTCATTAGTAAATAGTAGATCATGTCTATTTCTTGTCATGGCACATGTGTTCGTGCTTACAGCAGTTACAGTCGCTACAGAAGACCAGTCCAGCAGCTGAGTCGCACTTCTCATCCTTCTCATCCTTCTCCTCACAGGGCATCATAACCTCAATGTACCTCTGATTGTTGGTCTTCCCTGATTCTATGTAGTAGCAATTCTTGTTCATTTTCATTATAGCACAGTTAGGAATCGAATTATTTTCACATGCTTCTTTAGCTTTAGCCTCGTTTTTCTTGCATTTTTGAAAAAGGCCTATCCTCTTCTTGCATAGCTTCGTTTCGTCATCACCACCATGGTCACTATCATCATCATCACCATCGTCACTATCATCAGAGTCATCATCAGAGTCATCATCAGATTCATCATCAGCATTAGCTGCGGTACATTTGCTGCCTCTGCATTCAACTTTAGGGATGTGAGAGTATGTTGAGATCATGCACATGTTCTGCTTTTCACGGTCCATCAGGATGTATCCTTTGTCTCCCCAGCCGACACCCCAACTGTTCCTCACTTTCCAGTACTTCCTTCCCTTTTCAACACCGTATCCAACAACAGCAACAGCATGATCGGGCTGCTTGTTACAGGAGTTATCCACCATAACCCCACTTTTGTAGACCATGAACTTGTTGCTTACTTTGACGGCTACAGACACGATATGTTTAGATGCAAACTCCAGTAGCTTGGCATCACCCTTGATTTCGATGTTTCCAGTTACTCTGACATCACTGCTAGCAAGAGCGTTCGCCACATTTCCGTAGTTGCATTTTCTTGAATCTTTTCCCTTGTACGGAGCTGCACTAGTTGGAGCAATCCTGTCTTGCTTCTTAGAGTAGGTGTAGCAATCTTCCATCCAACCACCCTGGCATCCGTCACTGCTGGTTGAGCATTCCATATACTCTTGTTCAGACAGACTCATACCCTTCTTGCTGTTTACAAAGTACATCTCACCTTCGAGAGCAGCTGTAGCAGCAAATGTCCAGCAAGAGCCACAGCTTCCCTGGTTTTTGACACCACTGATTCTGTCGCTGAAGTCTCGACTAGCTGGAATATCCCGGCGGACCAACCTCTCCTCAGCTGCGTAGTCAGTCTCCCCACTATCCATGTGACCGGAAGAGTTGAATCCCATGTGAGCTTCCCTTTCCTCCGGAGTCAGGATGGAGAGGAAGTTGTTCTCGGCCATGAAAGGGATGTCATCATCACCATTAACTGCATCAACCTCCTCGGCGAAGTGAACGAAGGACTTGTACCTCTGAGCAGCTACTTGTGGAGGCTCCGACATCAGAAGTCCATCAGAAACATGGAACTTAGCGAAGGCCTTGTTAAAATCAGAACGGTAGTCTTTACTGAGAGCTCCAGCAAGGAAGGTGGTAAGGATCAGGAACATCATCATATTGTGTAGTCGTTGTAATGTGAAGTTGGGAGTAGATAGTAGTTATATAAGGAGTTGAAGACAATGGAACTTTACATCTAACAGTAACCGATGATGCTCATTAGTCGTACCATTAATTATCTTATAATGGGCTTCTAATCCACTTAATGGAGCTAGCAATCTTTTGAGAAATGACAAAATGTGTGAAGGAGCAATGAAGGAGCTACCCATCCTTTGTTTTATAACATTTTAAATTTGACAGGGCGCCGTAATCATATTTGGCAATGAAACTTTCTGTAGTCTGCTATTGTTGTTAGACAAGGAACAGAGTTGAGGGTGCGATATTCCGCACTAACGTCGAACAACCAAGGATCTTTATTCAATTTAGCAAGGCTACGTGCTAACAAGATTACAATTGCAGAGGAAGAACAATGTTAACGTGAAACAGTGAACAAAACAACGGTGAAGAAGATTAAAGCAGTATGATATTGTGAAATTAAATTCATCTTATTTAGTTAGCAAGGAGTGAACGGAGGGTCAAACATATTGTTCCATCTTGAAGCAATTTGAATATAGAAGCAATTTAAATATAAAATATACAGTGAATATACCTGAGGGTGATTCAAAAAGAATGTTGGGATTGTAAAAATGATAAGTCAGAAAATGTGTACCTTTTCCAAGAACTTCATAGAAAGTTGCCGGAGAGAGTCAACAGCGAACGCAGCGATTTCTTCGTTGGGAGAGCAACCAACCTGAAGATATGTTTAGACGTTCAAATGATATCAGTGTGCGGTCACAAAATATCATACTTTTCATTGGGTATCACCACGACGGTATACACTGTTAAAATTATGGTACTTTTTACCTTGTTGAAGTGATCTCCAATAACATGCCATATCTTACTCCACTCTATACGGATCCTGCCCATGTTGTAGTAACTAATCTCCACTATCTTTTGAAGGGAGAACATCCGTGGAGACACGGGGTTGTTCAGTTCTTCACAGCTTATCTTACACAACGCGTCCGTGAAAGACACTGCGAGCATTTTAGGTTTCAAATTTAACCAGTTATATCTGAGATTCAGCCTTGATGCCATGGAATATTGTAATAGGATATAAAGTCCAGTTTCTAAATTTAAGTTATCAGTAAGCTCTCCTACCAATGGCCGAGCCATCCAGCCGATCAGATCCTGTGAATATCCTGTCGACTGCTACAATAACATTCTGATTAGCGCTGGTTCCCAGAGTCTGTTGCAGTGATGTTACTAGTTTCTTATCCATCACTGAAAAAGAGATAACAAAGTTATAAATATAATATAACTCTCCCTCATTCATTTAAAAATGTAAACATATTCATTCGTGCTCATTGCAACAACCTAGTTGAAAACTCAGCGACAGATGAATTAAATTAATAAATAAAATACATAATATATGAATAAGCAAATTTATAATAACTGATGAATTGAATTAATGATTTAAAGAATGTTAATGTTTAATGAATACGGGAACATACTGGTTTCCTTTTCCAAGAACTTCGTTTTTACTCCTGTACCAATAAGTTGTGCTAACTCCAGCTGACTTATTACTTTCAGAATCTGAAAATTAAATTTCCAAATTATTAGTAGAACCGTAACATTAAAAGCTCTATCGGTGAAATTTAAAATCATAAGAATATTTCTAATTTAAAGAAATTTGTATCAAGCAAAGCACATATCGTAACCCCCCCCCCCCCTTCATATAAACTTCATACTTACGTCATACCAGCTCTCCTCGAGGTAGTTACAATCGTTGAAGGCAATAGTAATGAGTGCTTTAATAGCCTCCAGGTTCTTTGGCTTTATCTCACTGAACCCGCTGCTGACATTTAACATAGTGAAGCGAGCTAGGGACTGGATGTAGGCTGACCGAACCAACTGAAATATAGCATAAAATGAAATAATGTGCTTATATCTCGCCCATATGGATAGCAGCAGGCACAAGTGCTAGGCGCAATCTAATAACCATGTCGGAGCGGCTCTAAAGGGTGAGTGAATAAACTTAATATTATAGCGCATTGTCATAATATATAGTAGGTTTATCAGACCAAATTCATCCATTCATTGTTTGTGAGGCTAAAATATTCGACTGTTTTTACCCATATTGTCACGCCCAATTGCTAGAGAGGACACTTACACTGGCTTTGAAGATACAAGCTACCCTGACAGCACACTTGAAGCCAGCTAAACACTGAGCTATCAACTCCACATCACTGCAGTCCTGTAGTGTTATACTGAACACCGCCAGGAAGGGGGTCCACGTCAACTGAAACAGTGGATAAAGTGAAACAGTGAAATAGTGAAATAGTGAAATAGTGAAATAGTGGATATAGTGAACATTTTAAAATTATTTTTACAACTGTAACTGAATACATTTATTGAGTATTATGTAATGGGATGGAAGTGCTATAACCAGGTGTAGCAAGTCCACACCCTGACTCCATATTATGAAGGACAGGGTGTTTCAAAAGTCTTGTTAGGATGTACTTTTAGAATAAATTTCATATCATTCTGTAAACAGTTACTGGTAGTGCTAACTGCTAAGGTATTGTACATAGTAAATTTAGTGGGTTTCATTGTAAGTGGCATCTCAAGAAAGTCTAGGTTACTTTACCACTTCCACACGATATTCAGTTTAAATTAATGATATTTTAGTATATAATAAGTAATAAGTTGTAGTAAGTTTAAGTATATATAATAAGTTGTAGACGAACCATAAGCATAGGCCTGACATGATAAGAGTGTGAGGCTGAAGTGAAGACAGTGTCTTTCTTACTAACTCCCTCCATCATTACCAGAGCGTTCTTACTAAGGTCCGTCATTGCTTCCTTGTACAGTTGACGCTTCAGAGACTCGTTAGCTCCACCTTGCAGGAAGGTTACATAATAAAGTATATTTGGGTTACTTACTAGGAAATTGTAAGTCAGAGTAAGTATACATTAAACCTGTCAGTAAACGAACAATAAAAGATAACTTATCACATGTCTCCTAAAGTATTCTCATGATCTAATTTGCTGCATCCTTTAGAGCATTTTATATAGTTCCTTATATAGCTGACTCACCCTTAAAGTGCTGCATAAAATTTAACTTTATTTATTTATTTATTACTCACGAGCAGCGTTGACTCTAGTAAGTTCCCCCTTGTCGTACTTCATTTTAATCTCATTAGCGGATATCTCGTCATAAATCGCCATCAGGTAGTCAGGAGGTAGATCCCCGGAGTCGTTTATACCTCTGTTCATTTTTATGTAGTCCGGTTTAGTGATCTTGTTCCGCACCTTATTTTATATTAGGGTCAGATTTACAGATAAAAGTAGGCTTGCTCCAGAACGAGGTTCACAGATTCTGACAAATGTGTCGCAAACTCATCCCCAGTAAAATACTTAATCACCCTAAAATACTAAATCAATCCTCCCGCCCCTCCCCTCTCTGCCACATTACCTGATCATTGTGAAGGTCTGTAGTGAGCATGATTATAGAGTAAGCCAGGACGTAACAAGTATCCGCACTAGCAAATATCTCCGCTAGTTCCGGGTTGTTCTCATAATACCTCTGAGCAAACTTGAGCATCAGTCTATCAATTTTCTGTGCCTCCCCCGGGAGCCGGTACCCCGCTAGGAAGGTCCGGAGTGCTGTTACTATGGCCATGTCATGGAAATCCAGCTGGTCCACGTAGTCAGACATTATCTTTTTGCAGTTCTCGGATTCGTCTCCGAGTACCTCACCAATCATGGTCTTGCTAAGACGCTCGTCTGTATGGAAAAACCTGACCGGAAGGTGACTTTTAATAATAATTTTATCATTATTCTCTCGTCGTACGAATTATAGGCGACATTTACATTAGATCTTGATAGAGTTTGAAGTGGACAAATTACAACTATGTTCACCATAAAAATTGCTCCCACTGATGCTGATGGTAAATATCGAATATTTGTATACAAATATTCTAGAGTTCCACACAGAAGAACAGTATAACTCCCCCCCACCCAACAGTATAACCCCCCACCCAACATGAACAGTATACCCCCCACCCAACATGAACAGTATAACCCCCCACCCAACAGTATAACCCACCACCCAACATGAACAGTATACCCCCACCCAACAGTATAACCCCCAACCCAACATGAACAGTATAACCCCCCACCCAACAGTATACCCCCCGGCCCCTCCACCCAACAGTATAACCCCCCACCCAACAGTATACCCCCCCGGCCCCCCCCCCCACCCAACAGTATAACCCCCCACCCAACAGTATACCCCCCGGCCCCCCCCCCCCCACCCAACAGTATAACCCCCCACCCAACAGTATACCCCCCGGCCCCCCCCCCCCCCCCACCCAACAGTATAACCCCCCACCCAACAGTATACCCCCCGGCCCCCCCCCCCACCCAACAGTATAACCCCCCACCCAACAGTATAACCCCCCACCCAACAGTATACACTATACCCCCCCCCCGGCCCCCCCCCACCCAACAGTATACCCCCCGGCCCCCCCCCCCCCACCCAACAGTATACCCCCCCCGGCCCCCCCCCCACCCAACAGTATATCAGATTGTAAACCTCGCGACATCCTCCGTGTTAGAGCCTATCAGACCAGCTTCTTGTAAGAATGCGATACCCTTCTTAGGCTTCTTGTTAAACTTCTCTATTCCTTGTTCTAAGATACTCTTCTGTTTCTTGATATTCTCAAACTGGGAGAGGTGAGATATGAAACAGGAGTTTCAAGGAAATTGTACAAATGAGTATTCATCTAAATGTAGATTATTACTTTATCCCGGACACCTGTCTGATAATCATGTTAAGAAAGAAGAGAACATTAGAACAAGGTACCTCCTGAGGGTTATCATAAAGACCAGCTGAAGCTAGCGAGCTCATTGAAGTAGAGCGGGGAATAGAGCGGGGCGTGTCCGGGGTGTCCAGTAACCTCTCTTCTAACGTGCTCGTGTCTTTAATGTCTGTGTCTGGAACTGGTGATTTGATTGTTGTGGATTGTGCTATGTGCTGGCTACCAGTTCTATCAGTCTACATTTCGAATATGTCGTTTAAAAATATAGAAACCTTTAGGAGTTTACGGATGGAAAAATAGCAAAAGATGTTTTTCAGCATAATTCGGCATGGAAAGTATCATGGTTAAAATGTAGGACACGTGACAGTTATAGTATAGTTAAGTACAGTAGTTACAGTTGCCTGATAAACTCACCAGTCTTCTTCTCCTCTGCTCTTTGGTGAGGTCGACTGTACATATCCTTACTCCACTCTACTAAACACTTCAGTATTGACACCAGACACTCCATACCTTTATGTTGCAGCTGGGTTTCTTGTTGTGGTGTTAGTCCGTGATCAGCTAGGTTACCCTGCGGTACAGTGTTAGTCAGGAGATAACACAGATTATCATTAATTAATCGGGACACATCTAACATTTAATTTAGAGATGAACAGTAGATAACACACTCAGAAAATATAGAAACAATATGAAGAATGTAACCTGAGCAATACGGCTGATGTCGTTAACGAGTCTCTCGAAGATATTATCCAGGACCATGTCACAATCGTAGTTCAGGTAGATATCAACTATTATCTGAACATGTTAAACTATAATTCACATCAACAGAGGTCATGATATTCAACACTACCACTAATATAGTGTGTGGAAAATACAAACAACTGCGCTGTCACAGTATTCTGACTCTTAAACCTCTGATTAAGATTAACAAATGATCAAGAAAGTATTTAATTGGTTAATTAATTAATTAATTACCTGAGGATGAGCAATAAAGTGTTACCTGAGGATCAGCACAGACTTTAGCCAGAGCTCTCATGACAAACCACTTGTGTTGGAATGAGTAGGAGGGATTCTCTAACACGGACAGGAAGATGTCTTTAAAGAACACCTGAAACACACGTACGACTTATCATTAAAACGTACGAGGAACGATGCCGGCTGTCTTGAAATGATAACACGTTAAAAACAATCAGTTTCTGGTCTGTTGATTAAAGACCCTTGAAGTTAAAAACGTGAAACTTTATTGACAAACCTCAATTTGCATCTTTAAGTGATATTTGAAGTTAGATATTAAGATAAGGAATATGGATAAGGATATCTCGAACACACTAGGGTCGGTTGATACTCCGTTCTTGCTCAATGCAACGCACCTGGACAATTAATTAATTGATTAATTATTTAGTTGTTTAATTGAAAACGTTTCAAAATGCAATCTTAAATTAAAGAGACAATTCTAGTTTCCCGTAAGAATGCTCGAATTTACAGAATATAATATGATCATTATATTACTTAAAACAAATTCTGATAGGTTTGATAATATCTTTTACTAGAACCAATTAGTAAAACTCACAAGAACTGTTTGATGAGCTGAGCGAATGTTTTATGTGTCTTCATAACGGGCCCAGCATGGTTCTGCATAACACTCAGCAGAAGTTGCAGAGCTAACATCTTACTGCGCATCTCGTGAGACCTATGGGATCACGTGACTCTTCAAATTAAATGAGAACAGATTTTAGAAAGGGAGGTGGGTAAGCTTGTGGCCCCTTTTGAGAAGTCATATAATTCTTCCTAAATAAGGGCTATATAGGTCCTTACCTGGGATCAATGGGTCCCTCAGGCATGGGTTGCATAGTCATCTTACAGAGCGTGCGGAGGACTAGATACGCGTCTCTCATATACACATTGTCGAACTTAACACTCTTCTTCTGTGCAGCCTGAGAGGTTAGTATTTACAGTGTGCAGTGTGGGTGTCTTTACAGTGCAGCCTGAGAGGTTAGTATTTACAGTGTGCAGTGTGGGTGTCTTTACAGTGCAGCCTGAGAGGTTAGTATTTACAGTGTGCAGTGTGGGTGTCTTTACAGTGCAGCCTGAGAGGTTAGTATTTACAGTGTGCAGTGTGGGTGTCTTTACAGTGCAGCCTGAGAGGTTAGTATTTACAGTGTGCAGTGTGGGTGTCTTTACAGTGTCGGACGTCGGTAATCGTTAGATCGACAGGTACTTGATGTAATGATAAAAGATGTGTAAAATGATGACTCCACGTGACTACAATTGCTCACATACATTGTACACTATACACACCATGTACATTATACACACAATCTACACAATACATTTGGGTGAATAACCAATGCCGGTTGTAAACGTTCCACGCAATCCTACGGCAGCCAGGAATATTTATGAATTCTGAAGTTATGTACCTTATTCGTATCCCAGGAATAAGTTATTTCTAATTCCAACAATCTAAATCTAAATAAATTATGATGACCCCATATTTACATTGTGATTCGCATTTCTCTGTTCGTTATCAGCTGTCTCAGTCGTCTCAGCAGTCGAACCATCCTTCTCAGTGCTCCCATCCGCCTTCTCACTCCTGACACTCTGACCATCGTCCATTTTCTCGCTCTGTACACTCTCCGAACAGTTTGCGTCGCTGCGCTCACTCTGCGCATCCTCTCCGGGCTGGGCATCCTCTCCGGGCTGGGTGACGTTGAACATGGAGTCGTCTGCTTTCAACATTCCATCTTCACACTGAAATTATTTGCAAATTATGATTCATTTTAATTACGTGTCAATATTTTGTAGTGTCTCCAAGCAACATTAATTTGTTTAACGGAAAGTACATTCAAGACAGGTTATGCTGGTTACCTTCACTTCTTTAAGAGCTGCCTCCATGATCCCTTCAACAAGAGATCTAGATATTCTATATACTTCGTCATCACTACTTGATTTGTCAGCTGCTGAAATGACGACAGAGTATTACTTTACGTAGTAGAGTACAACAGCAATCAATAGATACATTATATCACTTATCTGACTTCAGTCATGTGACCAATCATAACTAATAAAGAAAATCTAGATTCTCACCGCCACTTTTATTCTCCCCAGGTTGAGTTGGTTGTGGCACGTCATCACGTGTCTTGTCCTCCTCACGTGACTTCACAGAGGATGCATCGTCCTGGTGACCGTTAACCATGCTTCCTTCTTTACTTGGCGTCCCTTCAGCAGACGTTTTTACAATCTCTGGAGCCGCCTTTTTCAATAGGTGAGCAGACTGAAAGAAGATAATTTGTCCAGATTTTCGAGAAATTACCAAAGTTAGTCTCTGCTTTGGGTGCACAATATTTAACAACGTAGCTCTATGCGGCAACGTCACATCACTGGTATTGTTATTTCAAATTTTAACATTCACAATACATTTACGAAGAATAGCCTATAATAATTATGTATTGATTGAGATGGAACAATTCTTCTATCCGGATTGTGAGCGAGCCTACCTTATTTCCACGTGTTATACAATATGGAACGTCGTGTGACACAACAATATTTCGCAATAGCGCGAAAAACTTTCGACAAATTTGAAGCCTTCGCGCGTGCCGTAAAATTGCTATCTGAACGCCAACTGTCCCAATTATTTAGGCTGGCGTATCAAATTTCATAACGGGTTGAGTGTTATCTCGACCAAAAAGAAATAATCGAATTTTCATTCAATTTATAACATCTGCATCCAAGACAATGATTCATAAAAGCTTCACCGACTACGGAGTGAAGCTAAAACCACCCTGCCACATCATCACATATTACTTTTCCAATCTGGAAATAGAGTCAGAGTCTAAAAAGAATGACGTATCGTGTTTTAACCTATTCTATAAAACATGGTGCCGATGAGAAGATGATGAGCACGAGCAACTCTCTTAAATCCAAAGCTGTATCTTATAGTATGAAATATGCGGCCATCTTAACTTGGCTTCTTGCCAAATGTAGCTACCGTTATCATTTACCTGATTACATACTACATCAGTTAATGTACATTATCAGGGCAGAATAAAATGACAAGCATTAAGATAAAATCTATGAGGAACACAGACGTGTCAATAACAATCTATACTAATAATCTCAAGATGTGTGTTTGTCTGTTCGTTCGCGTGTCATTTCCGAACGGCTTAATCAAGAAAACGGTAAGAGTTACGGGGCTGGTTTTTTTCGGTATAGTGCCGACAAAACTCTCACCAAGCTAAATGATTAAGGTTTTAATTAAGGGCCGGTGAAACGTGGTTTAATTGATCATTTTGTGACCCAAATGTGATACTAAAGTGTCTCACGTACTCTCCCTCTCTCCCACTCTCGCTCTCTCGACTCTCTCGACTCTCTTCCCCATAACAGATTTGCGATATAATTATGTAATTTGGTAGTAGACCTCAAGATCGGCTATCAAGTATTACTATAAGATATATGAGGGGCTCTCAGAATTAAATTGCAATGTGTTTGGACAGAGCAAGTTCATACTTTCGCACCGTTTTTACTACGAAAATGTAATGTTTGTATTCTAATATAAAAGGTGGGTTTATACTTTTGCATTTCAACTGCGATAGTGAAGTCCCGGCCGTAGGCACGGTTTGTAATTTGGAGGGACTGTTACACGTGGTGTATAATATATAGTATCGGCAGTAGACGTGAAATGTGACAAAACAAAACATTGTAGTAATAAATCCCATGATTTGGGTACAATCTACTTGTGTCGTAAATGGTAGTGTTGGAAAATAAATTTCTTTAATTTAACAGTTCACTTTATCGCAATCAAATTGCGCGCTCAATTTTATTAACTTTTCTACCAACTAAATCTGAAACTACAATCTAAAACTTAACAAATGAACTAACATTGTGTTCCATCAGAGAGAAGCAGACAGAAAGCATCTGAGTGAGGGTAGCTTTAGCAGTAGCACTGTTCACACTGTTCTTTGTGAAGAGGTTAATGTTGTAACAACACCGGATAGCTGTTAGTAACGCCATCTCGTGCACCTCACATGTTTGCGAGGTTACTGCCGTAAGTAGCGCCTGCAAATGTTAATACGTTGTACTGCCACCGCACTTCATATTAAAGTCATTATTGTAACGGTATTATATTAGAACCAGACAGAAACAAAGTGTGAAGGGCCTGAACGGAACCCCTCGGTTTCCGTTGGCCAGAAAGAGATTTAATAATAAACATATTCCCATTGAATCATTTATTTTAAATTCACTTCAGTTCAACTTTCAGTGTAATGTTTGGAATATCTTAAGTTCTTATCTTATGTATAATTAAATCAAGACATAAATCCCGATTCATCATAACTTTTCCTGGCTCATTTTATTACAATACAGAAGCAAAAGAAGGTAAAAGAAGGTAAAAGAAGGTAAAAGAAGGTAAAAGAAGGTAAAAGAAGGTAAAAGAATGGTGATGAGCAGTTCTCCCAATTAACATGGCAAACCTAATCAGAATGATAAAAGGAAGTGCTGTTATTTAACACGTGTACCTTTATTATTTGCAACTCAACGTCAGGGTCCGTGTTAACTCCGTGAAACGCGTCACAAATAGTTTCAATAACTGTGTCTATCAGCTTTTTATTGGGGTTCTCCGGGTCTGATGAGTCACCTGTTAGCTGCCCGTATGCTATTAGTTTCTGGAATAAACCTCATGTTAGTAGGTGATAATAGCAATCTATTGGAATATTTTAGTATTTCAAAATAGGGAAAATATATACATTCCGTCAAAATGTATACATTCCGTCACGCACAAAACAAGCATTATTCAAGCTCGTAATATTGAAAATACTGAAACACCACCTTTACGTATGTAGTACATTGGGAGAGGGACAATGAGTGTAAAAACAATACACAAATGACCGAGTACAATGACACTTGCAAGGTTTGCCGCACCTAAACCACAGAGGTATACATTATACAATGCACACTTGCAGGGTTTACCACATCAAAACCACATAGGTATGCAATGTATAATGTATAGATACATTCCATACCTCTGTGGTTTAGGTCTACATCCTCTAGCGAGGATTCCTGGTAAAACAAAATGTACACTAAACCTAGTCCATGCATACTGACTCCAGTCAGTTATAATGCAATATAATAAGTATATATGGTAATTATCTCTTTTGAGGACTCTCCTCGTTCCCTTTTAACAGCATTTTAGTATTTTACTTTTATGTAGCTCTGTCATAGTATAGCAATCACTTTCAACTGCAGTGTGTGGCACACTAAAACACGGCAGAAATAAATCATGAGGAGTCTGTATGGACATGGACCACATGCAAGAACTACGTTAGGCTGGCTGGGTAAATAGTCTAAATAGTACAAATAGTAACAAATAATGTGAGGCTCTAATGATGTAGTTTTACGAAGATTTCAAGTCTTACGTTGTGTGTTTCCCTTCGTGTCCAAAAGCATTATAGTCTAAATAATACGCTACAACGTACGCTTCACTAGATGATATCGCTTAGGATCGTACAAGAAATAAATACAAGATGAAATCAACCGCCAGTCACTAATTATTATTAAAGTTACAATAAAATAGTTACTACTCACAGTCCACAGATCCAAGTTAACAAGACTAATAATATGTGTCTCTGACCTGCAAGCAGCTAATTACTAATTACTAATTACTAATTACTAATTACTAATTATTACTCTGACCTGCAAGCAGTCCAATGCAGTGCTCACAATACGAGGAGAGCGAGACTGGCAGGCTAGCTGGAAGGGTTTAAAGTAATCGTCAGCTAGTATTACACCCGCTTCTGGTAGGTGGTGGGAACCATCTTTAGACCTGGGCAGGTATTTCTTAGGGTAAGAGGCATACTTTATTTAATCAAACTAATCTAGTATTTCAGCACATACTATTGTCCATAAGGTGCTATATTATTTTGTTCACTATAGCATTAATAAACGTATATTTATAATGAATGTATTAATTGCAGCAACTAAAGCAATATCTTACTTGGGGGCCTTGCTGACTTCTTTCAGAGTTTCTGAAATAATAGTTGAAATCAAAATAAATCCCACATCTTGGATGGAAGCAACCAGAATGTATGAAAGTGCTAAACTCCTAAATCTTGTTTTTCCATTTTATATCCCAATTTTAACAATTTTAATAACATTCAAAGATAGAGGCCTAGGCATGTTTAATGATATACAAAATGTATGTTAACATGTTGTAAAATATGTTAAAATATGTTAAAATACTCACTTAGCTTCTTTTCACACTCATCTTTTATTTCTGCATTATAGTTTTTCCGTATTTCTCTGTCAGACAAGATCTTTTCGAGCGCTTTCTGAAGGAACATCACGAAGATTTTATTATCTCTGGTTGCCATCACCAACCATTTTAGAACATGTCATCCATGGTAAACTGTGTAAAGAGTTTCGATAAATATCAATTAAAATTACTGACAAGTCACTATTGATGTATTAAAAGCTAAATATCTAGAGAAAGCTTTGATGAAAGGAAATCATGAAAATGTTTAGGACATTTCCAGAATTCAGAGCTTTCCTTGACCCAAATTTCACTGTATTGACTGCATTTTTCTTCAATGACCAATACAAATAGGTAAGTTCACTGGGTGACACTAGACACCAATGAGGTACTGAAACCTAGATTACCGAAGAAAGCTTTGATAAACGGAAAATCATAATAAAATGAGACATTTTGGAGGATTTTTGAATAAAGCTTTTCTGCTGTTTCCTTGACTGTAATTTCACAGTTTTTACCGAATTTTTTACCAGTGACCAATCAGTGAGGTCAGTGTAAATGACACAAGTTACCATCAAGCTACTGGAAGCTAAATATCTGAAGAAATCGTTGAAAAAAAGGAAAATCACGAAAATGTTTTACCGGTAGGACATTTTCAGATTTCAGCTTTCCTTAACCCAATTTTCACTGTATCAAATGAATTTTTCTTTAATGGCCAATAGGTGAGTTCACTGAGGGTTGCACAAGATTTTTAAAATGTGGGATTATTTCGTCCGTAAAATTATATACAATATAAATAGTACAGTAAAATATCTACAAAATTTACATATAAACAAATCTAGGAGACCTCAAAGCTCATCTTCTAATGGATGAGGTTGAAGGAAACGTCTTGCAGTTCAAGATGCTGGGCCGTTGATCTTCCTCTGATTTCCCTCAGCGCAATGAGTGTACTTCTTAACAGATTAAATCTGAATCGTGTTCTAATATGATTTTTGACCTAGCCCTTGGCTTCTTTTTTGTGGTCAGCTATCATCTCAGAGACACAATCTACAAACACAGTGCATAGCAATCCCATACCTTTGGAGGTTGAGAAGACTAGAGGGACAAAGGATCCGTTCTCTGACTGAAGTACTCTCTCTAGCTCTCTCCATACAAATCTTTCTTTTTTTCTCATGCTCTCTATAGATCTAATCTAGTGGCTCAAATGTATTTGTGTCGCAGTTAGGATGTGTGACCCTGATGTCAAAGAATGTTCTTTCAAGATACCACAAGGTACTATTGAGGTACTGAAACCAAATGGTGATGATCACAATAAACTTCTTCGACCGAAATTACAGTTCTGACAGAACTATTATTTACAATTCCTGCTAGATTAGGAAGTCTGAGAATGAACTTGTTATTTATATTACATGGAGCGCCATATTTCATATATACTGATGATTGGTATTGTTTTTATACATATCATGAAACGGATCGTTTGCCCGCCAATTTGATTTGTTTCAATTGTTCGAATTATAATGCTCCTGCTTAACTGCAGTCGAGCACTCTCTTTGGGAAACCAAACAACAACTATTTATTATATATACAGGGTGGGCCAAAAGTCAGTACCCATACGTTGGCCTTTATAGCTCAGTCACTGAGTGCCCAATTTAAATACTTCTTTCTGGTATGACTTATTACCACCACTGGTTCGAGGAATTTGTCAACTCGAAAAATATCCGCGTTCATTTTTTTCAAATGGAGGTTCATTTTCACATTTATTTGATAGTTTGGATAGTCGGATCAAGCTAAATGTTATTGAATTGTGTTTGGCCATTCGAATTACGTTTGTCCTGAAAGAATTAGAACTGTAGCTTCTCAGATGACCGAGATATGAAGCATAACGAGTTTATTCATTACGTGTGATCAGGTGATTGGTTTACCTAATCACGTGACAAGGTGCCCCCGTTAACTACCCCGTTAAACATTATGGGAATTGTTAAGGGTGCCCAATTAAGGTGTCGTGTCACGGTGTCACATAATCACCCAGTCAATATAGTTAACGAGATACAGAAAATGTTTGATAACTTCGTCATTTCTAATCCGTTTTGCCTCATGTTTTCAGATCATATGCAACATTTGATAATCTACCGTCTCTGAAAAAATTAGGCGTTCAGCATGTTCAGAGAAAACAATATAGGTGTTTTAATATTGAATGGGCGTGGTCTAAAATATTCGAATTTTAAAATTTTGACGACGGAATCCTTGAACCAGTAAGTACAGTATGCCATCTGCAAAGCAACAGCTCTCAAATATAAAACACGGCGGAGCTATTAAGGCCAACGTATGGGTACTGACTTTTGGCCCACCCTGTATATATATATAACTAGCACAAACTTAAGATCAGATATCTTAGGGGACTTGGAGTAGCAAGAGATTGACTAGAAGGTAGCAAGAGATTGACCACTGAACTGTGGTGTCTGACGTTTGCAGCTAGATCGGACTCTGCATGATTTTGTATTAGCAAATTTGTATAGTGTATAATTGTTTAGTGTTTATGATACTCTGCAACCTGGTAGCACGGCTGACACTAAAACAAAATGTTGGCCTGGCTTGTGCATAACCAAGTAAATAACACGCACTCCGATAAAAGCCCTCTGGAGAAACTCCGCAAAATGTTCATTGTAGTCAACGGGCACAAAGAAGCACTACTAGCAATTGTGTCCTTAACCCTCCTACATAATTTGAACATTTTTGTGGCTAACTCATTGAACAACATCTGAATTAAAATGTGTCTAGTATTAAAAGATTCAGTAAGTAATTTTTTCATGTACACTGTAGTTAGTAAATGCAAATCAAACTCTTTCGATCAGCCGCGCGCTGAACCAGTGTTGCACTAGGTAAAAATTGTGTATATTTTGTTCATTTTTGAGTGTAAATTAATTTATTAATTTATCACAAATTATTTTATTATAATATAACCACCTATGTGAAATGGTTATTTTGACTTTAAATATTTGAACTAAATATGAATTGATTGTGGGTATAAAATAAAATTTGTTTTACTAAAATTTGTTTTACTACTAGAAGGTATATATATATATAACTAGCACAAACTTAAGATCAGATATCTTAGGGGACTTGGAGTAGCAAGAGATTGACTAGAAGGTATAAACCTTTTACACAGATACGTCGAGAAGAATCCAGGGTGATACAGGATCGGAGAGTGCAGACCAAAAGTTTACGCACCCACCTTTGCTCCTGAGTTCTTGGTTGGATAGAAATTTATGCAAACTTGGTCGTTTATACTCCAAGTCCCTTTGTTAAAAGAAGTAATATTAACTATGTCTAGGGTTAGCTTCGTTCAATAATAACAATATCAATATAATCAATATCAATATCAATAGCAGATAAAACTAGTAAGTGTGTGCCGCTGAAATTAGATTTGATAACTGCAATTTAAAATTGTTTGGAGTCCAAGTATCTTTTAAGTCAGCTGCCTGTGCTTGTATTAATAGTGCTTTGGTTCTCAATTTTATCAAGTTAATGGACGTTTCTAAGCAGTTGCTTGAAGTTAAAATTTTTTTATGAACAGCGTTCCAAAGCTTGGCTGCATTAAACAAAAAGGTATTTGATTTATTTAGAAGAATAACCGTTAGACTCGTTGCACGGTTTGAAATGTTGATAGCCTCATAAAGGGAGTATGGGCAGTGGTACTTGATAATCTTAGAGAATTCTAAGATGCTGTGACATTTGTACAAGTTTTGAGCCGTAAGAATTTTTAATCTATTAAGCATGGATATAATGAGGAGTGTGCTAGTAGCAGTTAGAGGTGTACGTGGAAAGGCAAAGAAGGCATGGAATGCCCCTATATCCAATGTCTCCTTCAACCTGATACCTGAGGAGAAGAGCTACGAGGGATAGATGATATCTATTGCTCAGGATTTACAATTGTGCTCTGCCAATTGCATCACTTGATTTAATTTATTGTATATATACTGTTTGACATTTACAATTTTTCATTTAATCTATTAAAAATGGGTTTTGTATGCTCCTTTTCAAAGTGTCTATGGTCTAGTTTTTGCATACCGTATGGTCTAGTACGTGCACATGTTGATTGTTTATCTAAATATGAGTCAAGGTCGCCAAAAAGGATCCCTATACAGTGCTTCTGTGTGATAAAAAGACTATCACTGGACCGTTCTTGGAGGACTACACCCCAAACACTTATACCATAACTGAGATGTGATTCAAAAAGACCATCATATATTTTCAAATATAGTTCAGAAGGTATTGAGTGCCGAATTCTGCAGATTGCACCAGTCATAGATCGCAGTTTTTTACGGTTGTAGTGCATGTGGGCAATCCAGTTTAGCTTACTATCTATAACAACACCTAAGAATTTGGTATCCTTGACTTTAGTAATAACCTTACCATTGATGAATATTGATCTAGATTCATCTAGCAGGATAGAAAATGGTCTGGTCCGTGCACAGGTGTCATCATATTCAGAGGCAGGTTTAAAATGTATGTAGCAGCATTTGGACATGTTGATATGAAGTAGATTACATTTCATGTAAATCGAGACATGTTTAAGTACTAAGTTGGCTTTTTTGTATGTTGCTTCTCTAGATGGTCCTGATATGAAGATATTAGTTTCAGCGTAAAGTAAAAATTTCACCTCACTGTCTGAAAAGCAGTTTACTATATCGTTCATATACAATAGGAAAAGTAACGGCCGCGGCCCTAGAATTGACCCTTGTGGTATTCCAAATTTCACGTTCCGTTCATTGTTTCTGATGGTACATCGTTATACATAACATACTGCTTTCTGTTAGTCAAATAGCTTTTAAGTAAGGTAAGTGCTGTGCCCCTAATACCGTGCACATGCAACACGCTCACTGAGTGGAACCACTTCACATCTTTTGTAAAGTGTGTCTTTTCTGATTATGTTAGGATAAGTCATTTTAATGATTCGCCTCAGATGTTTCCTGTGGCAAATATCCAGTTTATTCAATAGCTGCTTTGATGCAGCCCAGCACACAGCCGAGCGTACTGAATGATTACGTTACAGCTTTCGATCTTCGAGATTTTCCTAAAAGGGCAGCTCAGACCAACTTCACAGGAGGAGCTAAGTGCAAAGAAACTGTCACTAACTGCTACAAACTGCCACTAACTGCCAC